ATTTAATATCACTAGTTCTTTCTATCTCATAATTATTTTAAAAGGTTATATGCAAACAATGTAAAGTTGATAATTAGTAACAAAACTTAATAATACCTCAAAACTCCACAAGTGGATTAGTCCCTTGTGAGTTAACTAGGTTCATTTATATCTCCATATTTACAGCCCAAGATATAAAATCCTTCCATAGCTCATGTTTCCCGAGGGAATTAGACGGTTCTTTAATGAAGAGTAATTAAGGAAGACTTAAGAACATTAGGTACATATATATATATATATATATATATATATAACCATTAACTAACAAATTACTACGTAACCATTAAATTATCGTTAGCATCACATTTTATAATGTTAGTTGATAACTAGAATATTACGCTACTTAATATACTTAGCAACAAGTTAATGGACAACATCAAAAGACAGCAGTAAATCACACAACATTCCCCAAGTTGTCCAATATTGTAGGAGCCGTCAGACTGTTCCACGACGTTCCTCGTGACAGATTGCCACCTCACCCGTTGAATTAGATGCTACATATTACTCTTGCGACGGGTTGTGGTTGTGTTGACTTGTATTGAATTTATTTAGTCACGGTTAACTCGCACTGTCTTCATTAGGGAACTTAATTAGGACCGCTGTTCTTTTAAGTTCATTACTTAGAGTTTCAGGTTAACAGGCTACTTAAATTTGCTTTTACTCTAGTGCTTCATGTCAAATGAAATATTATTTAGTTTGATATTATAAAACGATGTTGTTAATTTTAAATATCATTTTTCTTGATTTAAATAGCTATTACAAATATGTAACCTATTTATTTGAGTGCAATGGAAATTGTAAAGGAATAAAAAACTGTGATATAATAATATAACTTGAAAGATTTTGTTTTTGCACTATGTTCCTACTTTCCTATATGCAAGAATAAATTCGATATCAGCTAAAGTTGTAGATGAACTAGAACTGAGAACTTTCTTGGAGTTTAGAACATAGTTTATTTTTTTTATAGACTTTCTTGTTCAAATTGCTAACCTGGTATGATTAAAGTTTTAAGTATCTATGTAATTAATCAATATTTAGACAGCCTAGACCTCATTATTTCTACATAAACTCTCAGTTCTCAGAGTAGCTTGGTGGCGTAGTGAATAAGCGCCACGGCCCGCGATCGTTGTCGTTAAGCAACTTTCGCATGGGATGGGTGACCAAAAAAATATAATCTCGAGCTACTCCGTGCTTCGGAAGGCACGTTAAGCCGTTGGTCCCGGCTGCATTTGCAGTTGTTAATACCCTCCAATCCGCATTGGGCCAGCGTGGAGGGTGGCCCATCCTCCTAAACCATCCATAAGGAAGGCCTGAGCCCCTGCAGTGGGGACGTAAAAGGGCCGATGATGATGATTATAATGAAACTCTATCAGTTTATTATCTAAAAAACTGTTTCTAGAATAAAACGTATGAAATAGTCTTTAATGAAATAATATATCTATGTAATAAAAAACGATTTTGGTTCTGGTTGGAAACCAGCAAAAAATATGTGCTAAAGACGTTATCGTAGAACAAACGCAATAAAAAACAACATTAGAATTAAATGCTCCTTTATTGTTTAAATCTATCTAATAATAGTGCAATCAAGCAGTCTGAGCCATTTGTGATTTTCCTTGATTTCCATTGCAGTGGTGGGTTAAATCACTTAAAAATTGCATTAAACAAAAAAATATTTCGAACTTACTTTTATAATACAGCAAAATTGCCCACGCTATAATAATAACCAGTACTGGTAATTGAAACAGTTTAAGCCCGAGCGTAAAATGAGAAACTATAAGTGCATAATACTTGAACATATAGCCATTGTAAAATTTCATGGCTTAGGTATGCACGCTTATACGGTAAGGTGGTTAAACTTTCCAATTCAACTTCACTACTTTTATCACGAGAACTATTTGGATAGTTTCTAGTCCTAGGTAACAACTGCCTAAGAATATCAAATTATATTTTCACTAAGACACTGACGGGTAAATCTCCTCGGCTCCAGCATTCAGGTAAGATGAGAAGATATCAACATTTATTTTCACAAAACGTCTCCCTCAAAAATCATCTGGTGGTAAGTTAACGTAATATGGTTCGATTTCCTTTCCAGATACAGGACAAGTCATCTTGTATATCAATAGTAACGGCTGGGAGTGACTATGCGGCGGGCACAATAAGAAGATTTTACAATGACAGGCTACCTTTGGCTAAGAGATACTAAACCAATTCAGTAAAAAAACTGCTGGCTAGTGCATAGAATAAACGCGAGATGTCTACTCGTATAAAAACAATTTACTCGTATTATAGTTTTACGTTATTGCCCTTATTATATTATATTGAAATTTTTATTGCAGAATATTAATATAAGATGCCCTAGGTTCACGGTCTAAAAATCTTTTTTCTGTCCCATTAACTAAGACTAATTATGCAGAAAATATTTTTGTTTATAGATCTTGTAAAGAATATAACATGTAATTTTACTTTAATTGTATAATTCCTTCTCCTAAAAAACTTGTAAAAAAAATAATAACCCTGACGAGCGTTGAGTGATATTGTTATTCTTATTTATAGTTGTAATTTAATTAAATAATTAAGGTAATTTGAAAATTGACAATTGTGTAACTTTTATATTAACTGTTGACATTATAGCTTCTTTTTATTAGTGATTAATGAAAATTAAATCAAATGATAATATTTAATGTGAAAAGTGACATGTTTATTGTAAAAACGATTAGTGGAAACTTAACTGATTAATGTGTTATTTTTAAATGTTTAATTTGCATTTATTATAAATATTGTTTTTCAAATATAATAAAATTAAATGAATCGTGATGATTATGTGGGTTAGAATAGAACGATTAAATTAAAATAATAGGTTTTATCCTAAATTCCGCTACATCATTAGAAACTCTCACTTTGGGAACAGGAAAAATCTAAAATTACATTAAGCGGGCGAGACGGGAGCATACAAAGGGATAGCAATTAGTGGTCCTGTGAACTTGAAAGAAATCCATTTGGGTTTAGTGGTTCTATTGTTGAAGAATAATAGTATATCGCTGACGGTTTTAAGGGAAATAATGTTCAATCTTAGTACCCTTTTGTGGTGTTCTGAGTTAACGAAAACTGATATTTAAATAATTTAATTTTGCCAGTATATCAAGCATATATATTAATTGTATCTACTAGTAAACGCTTATTGTGTAATCTCCGAGTAATTATGTTGCTAAGGAGCTTTTGGTTATTCACGTTTATCACCTAATGAATATCAAATAACGATCTAACGACGAGAAAATTGAATAAATAACTAAGTTCCAATTTTCTATAACATGCAGTTAGGTATTTGTTCCAAGTAATATATGCGGCATTAAAATAACTCAATATCATCATCATCCCTTTTACGTCCCCACTGCAGGGGCTCAGACCTTCTTTAAGGATGGTTAAGAAGGATGGGCCATGACCCTCCACACTGGCCCAATGCGGATTGGAGGGTATTAACGACTGCAAAATGCAGCCGGGACCAACGGCTTAACGTGCCTTCCGAAGCACGGAGTAGCTCGAGATTATAATTTTTTGGTCACCATCCCGTGTTTGACCCTTGCGAAAGTTGCTTAACGACTACGATCGCGGGCCGTGGCGCTTATCCACTACGTCACCGAGCTACTCAAAAAAACAACTCAATATGTATAAGATCAATTACTATTATTTTCATGTATTAGAATGAAGATATTTTATAATAAGACTTTAATATTTAATTTGAAATGTTTATTGTAAAAGACGAGTGTAATTTTCTGAGTTAAATGACCAATAAACAATATGATTTGATTTTAAAAAAATATCTATTTAGAAATTATTTAAAATTGTCAAAAATGATTAACCAAGTGATTCTTTATTAACATCGTATGATATAAAAGTAAATAAATTAAGAAGCTTTATGACTTTTCATGCCAAATTGTGTAAGACTTTAGGCTGAAATATGTTGCTGGTCGAGGATGATGATCAAAGATGGTACTTTCCTTTATCTTGTTTATTCGTGCATTTGTTACAGAGCGACACTTTAATTTATAAAAGATTATATTTTAATGTTAATAACTATTGCAATACCATTCTATTGATGTCAATCGTTTCTGCAACGTTGCTTAAACATGTCGCAGTCAATTGCGTGAATTTAGTATGTATGAGGAGAATTCACTTATATACACAAATGAAAAAGCAAGAAACAAATTAATAAAAGTAATTTACTGTTTGTATTTAATTTTAAACTTCGTACAAAAGAATTTTAATATTGATACAAAAGGTTTCAATCAGTATCCGATTTAGTTTCTGAAATTTATCTACTTATTGATAACTAAATTATTATCTGGAAATAATTTTAGTGGGAAGAGAAGTGCTAGTTTCTGTTTGCTGGTTCTCATTATCCTTGTATCAGTTGGATTAGAAGAAGAATTCTCTACGCCACTGTAACATTCGCTATTATAACCAAAGGTGAAGTAATAACGAGCAATAACCTCACAACTTTTCCTATTAGGGCGACCGATAACTAAATTGTCACCGTCGACTTTTATTTGGAAAGTTTACGCCACAAATTTGTATCGTATCTGTTACTTGCAATAAAACAGTTACTCCATATCATTAACGAATATTGGTTTTGTGTAAATCGATTAGTTATTAAACTTTCAATTCTATCATTGAATCACGTGCACTCGGTTATCGGTGCCGTCAGTTGCAAAGTCAATCCAATTGCGAAGCACAAATGTAAAATTTTTGTATTAGTTTATTTTGCGGAAGTGGGTGAATTGCCAACACATAAATATGCCGAAATATATATGCCCGCGCTTTTGCTAAACGCATTCTAAGGATGGAGATGACGAAAACGATCTGTTTTTTTTCATTCGTAACATTTGCTGCAATAATGAATACCCGAATAAAGGCCATATATTTTTAATACCGGTACGCGAACTGAGTGTGTTTTCAGTTTAAACATGGCCGCATTACACGAGCCGCCACAATTATATCACGTCAGTTAACATGGAACATAATTAATTACGGCAACACTTCATCAACTGAACATAAATTACGGTTATGGAAAATTCTCGAAACATTAATTTGTAGCTGGCAATAAATTTGATGCTACAAATGTAATTTCGATGGTTTGCTAACAATTTTACTTACACAACTAATAAGATAATTATTTTGGTTGTATTCACACTAAAACATTCATTCATTCATGCATCATCATCACTATATTATTGTGCGAGTTTGTGACGTAATGAATTTATTTTTGTTATTCAAAATAATTGAATTCTCATTTTGTGCTCTCGACGTTGTAATAAACTAGGGGTAACCATGTAAGATTGTGTACGATCATTTGTTAACTATTATACCTATTAAATTTCGAGGTAACCAGTTCCAAGAAATATATAAAGCTCTATGTAATCTGATTTATGTATTCGAACAAACATTAGTATTTTCACGGTTAATTCTCATTTGACATAGAAACTAAGTAGTTAAGAGGTTTTAAAAGCAAATCCTACTCAGAATCGGACCCAGGGCATAACAATCAAATTAAAGGCAGTCGGGAGGGAAACTTTTCCAATAACCATTTATATTGATAAGGGTCTAATTGTGTATTAATTAAATATTAAAGCGTCGCGTCGGGCAATCTGCCAGGCGCAGTTTTGTTTTTAAAACTCCCATTTACTTTTTGTAATAAAATGGTTCAAGAGATAGGAGACTGTATGTAATTTAATGAATCCTTTTATTTTTATAATCAGATGTATATTAAAATATCATGAATTAAAACGAAGCAGACTACTTTACTTGCAATAACGCTTCGTTGTAATTTGTATGCGCGTTTATACTAAAATCTGATTTACCCATACATAGGCAGAAATAAAATGCAAAAGGGTCAATCGAACATTTACCTAAAATATATTATTGATACTTGCAATGTATTTTCTAATGCATTTTTTACAAAAACGTAATATGAACAAATCGCATGGCTAAAAATGAGGCTCGCCATTGCACGACAACGACGCTCAAATTAAAAGTGTCTGGTTCAATACAAGACCAAGTTTTATCAAACTTTCAAGAAGTTCAATTAAAACATATACTCCTATGTTTTTAATTTTGTCTATACCTATAAACTTTTATTACTTGGTTATTGAAATTTACAAATCATTTTTGTAAACGAAATACTTCTATTTAAGCGCTCTATTGGCAATTGACCATTGTACTGACTAGTAATAATAATTATGCAACTATATTTATGGTTTTTATTGAAAAAGTAAACATAAATTAATGTTACCGTTTATATAAGAAATTTACAGTTAACTCAAAGCTATTTTCGAAGTGTTTTAGTTTATATCTATATTGATTAATTAATAATTATCCAAATAAACTTGCCTTCAAACGTTTACTGCGTGAACACCTATTGAATATCATAATCATAACACAAGAAATATAAATAAACTTGCCGTTCCAAGCTTCAGACTTCAAAAACCAGAGGATTATTTCTGGGTAAATGTATTGCGATTCAAAAGTGCTTGTAACAAGCTTACTCGAATAAAACATTTTCATTTCATTTAATTTCAATATTTCTGTGGTTTGTGGTTAAATTATGTAAATATATATTTTTATTTGTTTATATACATATAAATATTTCTTTATTTATGTATGTATTTATATAAATGTAAGTTTATGCATAGATATTGGTAGTTTGTTATTTAATTTTACACATTGAAACTGTTTGTCTCTCTGTTTCATTTTTGCACCGCCTTTTTTTTAAAGCTCTCTGCTACAACTCGCCTTTTGACTGGTAGAGAATGTCCCCATGGCATTAAGTCCGCCATTTGTATATTTTAATTTGTGCAAAAAAGTTTAAATAAATGAATTTAATCAGTGATATAAAATACTTTTTAAAACTATACGACTATATGAGGAATAACAGTTTATTGTTTAAAAATGTGTCACTGCGAATTCTTTGTCTGCAATTTCGGGTTTCAAACTATATTCCAATAATTATTCTATTCAATAAGTCATAATTATTTATATGTTTTTTTAAATTTAAAATCAATACTGTGATTTATAAGTAGAAATCTACTTTAAATTTTTGATTAGAAACATTGGACCATGCGTGTATAGGTACGATGATTGTACAAATAGCTATTTAAGGAAAACTGTCTCGTTCGAAGCCAATAAACGGAATCCTAATGCACCCGGGATATCTTTTAATTGCAAGGCTTTGGCATTAAGGGCATTTGAATTAAACCGTAAACGATTCGTTGGATACGTAAATATTGTATTGAATGTTGTTTTAAATATTAACTCGATTAATATTCGATTTCGTTTATTTTAGCTATGGTTATCTAATCGTTTGCTGAGAGACAAATACAAAAATATTTTGGGGAGATGAAACGAAAAGGGAGATATAAGATGAAAAGGGTTAACGAAACCTCTGAAGTGGTTTGCTTCATGGTTTTAAAGTGTCGCCATCTCTGAGGTCCCGTGTCGGATCAATGTAAGAAATGGATTTTTTTTATATTGTTTCGGGTCTGGCTGTTGTGGTACCTTCGTTGTCTAAGATACTCTATAATATCGGGGCTTTAGCTACTCATTTAGAATCTGAGCAATGTATGTGATATTGTCTAGTATTTTTTATATTTATTTATATTTATTGCCTCTAGCAATGACCGATCTGCTTAATCAATTTATTTCCCTACTCAAATGCTGTCTAGTTTGATGCTATCTTGATATAAACATTTTCTTTGTTGTCACCAGGTGGCGGGCGTGGTCGGAAGAGCTGATGTGTTAGCGTGTGCCTTTTTTCTCTCTTCACTCCTCCTGTATCACGGGTAAATATTACTTTTTCAACCGAAGTAATGTGTTCTTGACAGCATCTGTCATTTATCTAATTTTCAATTTAAATAAAGTTCATTTGAAATTATGGGTATAAGAAAATATTTGTTATTGACATCTGTCACGAAAGCATTCCCTCGGTGGCTAAAATATCGATGAAATGTTGGCTTGTTTGAGCTCGGTATTCGCGTTATATCGATTTCGACGGAGAATATGTAGGTATTTATTCGTGTCTAAATTTAACTTAAAACTTATTCCGAACAGAAGTTCACTGTTTAGTACTTTATTTCCATATACTCTTCTAAAATTTTACCAGATATATATATAATGGTGATGTTATATAAACATATATACCATATAATCATTATATTGCTTAATTTACTTCGAAAGACTTTTCATAGGTAAGTTTATTTGGATAATTTAGAGATATATTAACGTAGAACTCATGAGAACTAGATGACCCTGGTGTACTTCGTATCACCCCTAATCTTTTAAACCTTCCCTAGACTACGACAAACTTTTAAAAGCAAAAATCAGCTACACCGGTTTTGACGTTTTAAAGAACAAACGAAGAGAGCAATTGATTTTCATTTATATGGATTAGCTAATTTTTCTTTATCAATGTTGCAATGTATTGTTTTTGTGGTTACTCAATCCTTTATTTTTAAACTTTTAAATGTCAAGATTCTCCGTACTCTATAAGAGTTCTATTTATTTATAGTTATCACACTTCCAAAATAGACACTGTCTTTGAATAACGACATACTAAATATCCATCTGTTAACAACCAATCGGTGCAAATCACAAGCTGATACTATCTTGGTCGTTGCTTTGTCATAGTGTTCGACTAAATTTCCCGTTGCATGCCATAACGTTGTAACCTATGAGATTATCAGAGCCTAGTCCCGGATATATAAATCTTATAAGTAACGTTATATGGTCCATGTATGTTAAATAATTCAACGTTGATAATGGTTGGCTGTAACATGTATGTGCTGACGTCAGAAACAACGTTTCTGAATTAGAATCTTATTATTCTGATTCATTCGAAACATTTTTCAATAACTTAATGGAAAAATATTAAATATTAAACGTTACTGAGTAAAGACGCTTTCAGAACGATACATTTAACAAATTAAAATAAATAATTCGAGCTATCACGTTCCGGTAACAAAGCTTGCAAAGAATAGTACTCATGGGATATAAGACTGAGACAACAGCAACGAACTTAATTTATCCAAAAGCTTACAATAAACTGGGTTTAAAGAGACTAATCAGTGTAAAAACCAACTTCTTTAAGTAATGTTTATTGAATCGAAATTATTTTATAGAAGAAATTAAATTAAAACTTTTTTTTTTATATATTTATATTTGATGATATCTGTTTCGTTATTTTTTTATAGAACTGGATACGCGAGTGACACAGGCATAATATATCATATAAAAAAAAACTAAAACAACAAAATGGTACTGTTAGGAAATAATTGTTCATTTCAGAAAAATTACTTATTTGCTTTTCATGGACTTTGGTTCGACTAAAAACCTTTTCATTTGTTTTAAGGTGTCCCTATTTTAGTGGCTGAGTTCCGGCACGTATTTTAAAGTTTTCAGTTGGCAGTAGTTTTACAAAGGACCTTTAGCGCCATATAATGTTAGCGCCAGGGGAACCAAGTTTGTTTGAGGAGAGGAAATAAAATTCTGTTAAAGTTGTTGTTTTTGCGACATTCCTTTCTGATATTGAATGATAAAATGAATCGTGGTTTAGGCACAGATATTAAACTAGTTTTGGGTAATTCGAACTATTTTTTATTAATGATAACAGTAGGTTCAGGTTATAAAATAGTTTAAAATATATTGTAGTTGATGTTTTCATTATAGCGCTGGAATCTGAACGACTGTATTACCAAACTAGGTATTTTAGTTATTCCTTATTAGTGTTACAAAATCCGTGCTTTCAGCTCATCGGGAAAGGACCAGGTGTGGTCTAGTGTAGCACTCGCGGCACTAAGCATGCTAGCTAAGGAGACCGGCCTCACCGCGCTCTTATTCAACGTAGCTTTTGATGTATATAGATCGTGGTCACCTGTAACTAAGTGAGTATAATTATTTAATTTTTATTTGATAGCAAGTTCAAATAAATTAACTAAATTCCCAATAAAATATAAAATGTTTCATAATCTGTTAAAATATTAACATTGAAATAATCGATTGGACAAGATTACAATTATTTTCAAGTATCATCTTACTCTTACTAAAGAGTAGGGTTTCTACAGGCGCAGTAAGAACTTTGAATAATGTAACTGTTGATTTACATGAAACTATACTTAATTACTTAATTTAGCATTATAAGCAAAAAAATGACAACATTACGGAAACAAGTATGGAATAGGAGGGAAATAATTATGGAGTTTTTTAGTTGATATAACATTTGGATGCTACCCATAACAATATTATAAAGGTTTTCTAGAAATTGGGAAGATAAATTTATTAAATTTGCACACTATTTCAGGTCTCTCAATGTCAAATGGAGATGGAAATGTGATAATGTTTGTGGCAGGGTGGTCCGTGCTATTGCTGCACTCATTCTATTAGTTGCTGTTAGATTGACACTACTTCAAGGGTCACTACCAGCATTCTCTGCCCAGGATAACCCACCAGCCTTCCACCCTTCTTTCGCCGTCAGGTAAAATAGTTTACAACTCTTTGATTTAATTCAGACTGTTTACCAAAACAAAAATTAGTTAATGTATTATTTGCTAATGACAAATTTATTACTCTTCAGACTGATTACGTTCTGCTACTTGGCTGCGTTCAACTGGTGGTTATTGCTGTGCCCGTGGACGCTCAGTCACGACTGGCAGATGGGCTCAGTACCACTCATCACTAGCGGCTGGGACCCTAGAAATTTGCTGACTGTTGCTGCTTTGATAGCACTCTTAGCGTTGTCTTATAGATGTTTGTTAGACTTGGAGGTAATATATTATTTTATTTATGTATCGGTTATTTCAAAAATAAAATTTAAATCTAGAAACTAGTTCACCAACGTTTGATGTAGCTTCCGCATTGGATATAGTAGGTGAAAGAATTTCATTGATCAGATCAGTATTTCCGAAGATTACCACATACAAATAAACAAAGTTAAAAACTTCACTCCTTTACGACTAAAGACCTTATACTGAAAAATACGATAAATTTATACGAGTTTTAAATAGTTGATATTGAAAATAAAATAGATTTTTATGGTCTCCAACGAGAATACAAACAAAAAGTAATTTGTACCATTGTGTACCTATTTCATATATTGTTTGCAGCTACAACGTCACACTCCTGCAGTGGTCGGACTGATGCTGTTAGTTATCCCGTATCTGCCAGCGTCCAACTTACTCGTCACAGTTGGTTTCGTGGTCGCCGAGAGAGTGCTTTATATACCAAGGTGACAAATCATCATAAATATACTTTTTTCATGCTCGTAGACCATTAAAAAATAGGTAATAATAAATTTGATTTCGTTCATTCAAAATTAAATATGAAAAATGATATTTGTTGAAATCAAAATATTTCCATTCAATATTTCAGATTCTAGTATCTAAATTAATCTTTAATAACAACGAATAAAGCTGCTAACTCATTGTTCGTACCTATGAACCCAAAACAAGACTTCTATTATTTTAATGAATTAAATTTGTTTTGAAGCATTATCTATCATAAAATGTTATAAACTAATATAAGTATTCTGCACTTCTCCTGTTTTTGCTTTACGTTTGATGTAAAATTTTCTTTATAATCTTTTTTATAATGTAATATTATAAGTTGAGGCAAAAACTTTGTAAATGTGATGAAGCATCTTAACGCCATCTAGGAACAATATGATGTAACTTTAAATCTCGGTCTTGCCGTCCATTACTGAGGCAGTGTTAACACACCGAGATAGGTGTCGCTGTTTTCGACATAAGCGCTACAAATATTTCTATATAACCATTTTTGAAATTCCAGCGTCGGATCAGTTCTGCTGACTGCATACGGAATACAATTATTGTGGCGGCGTCGTGGCGCGCGGCGACTGTTGGTGGTGGGCGCGGCGGTGCTGGTGGCGGCGGGCGTCGTGCGCACCAGCCTCAGGAACATGGACTGGAGGACCAGGGAGACCTTACTTAGGTAACATATCGCTATCATCACGGTATATTAATGTCTCCCCTGAGGTATTGAAGCCGGCCATAACCTGTCACCTGTCTACAGCGGGTTAGTGGGTTTTAACCTCTTGCAGTTATTGCCTAGAGCAGGGATAGCGAACCAATACCTCACGATATTTTTTGCACGTCAGTGATAATAAAATTCATTATTTGCTACAAAAAAATGTCGATTAAGTATTAAATGAGGATTTATTATTATTTATCAATAATCGTTAAGTCAATATTATTTGATAGCACGTCTATGACCTAATTAAAAATTAAAAATATCTTTTCATGGTACGTTGAAAACCAAATGTTTGCCATCCCTGGCCAAAATGTACGGGAACTTGAAGTATTTCAATCACCGGCCTTCGTGAGACTTACTTAATCTCGGCACTTGCTAAAACAGAAAACTTTACAATAGACAGCAGCTGGTAAGATGATATATGGTTTACAATAAATAAGGCAGATGACTTGGTTTTGGCCAATTCAAGATTAGAACCCAATTAAAATGGCTGTACCAATTTAAGAATTGAACTTTGACACATCTTAGTTTTGTCTTATTTCAACATTTCAACGGACGTACACTATAAAGTAACATTATATTTGCCTATAGGTTAGTTACATGCTTTGGAATCCCAAAAGCCTAAAAAAGAACCAGTGGTACAAACGAGGTTATTTGCCCTGTATATATAGTATACTGAGGGTACAGTAGTTGATGCATTCGATAAGCGATTACAGAGAATAAGCAACTATCAGAAGACCGATCATAAGATGGGTTAGCATAATTCAATATGCATGACATATTATCCCGTTGCTTCCGCCTTCATGTGCACTCGTAATCACGTTGTATGCAGCCATTGTGGTTATGGTTCGTTCTATCAACGTGAAATCTAAAAGTGTTGCATATAGCTCTCAGCATAGAGTAACATATGCTCTCATCTACAAATGAGCCACGTATTTTCTTTAAAATTAGACGTTGGGACGTTATTTGCTGGTTGAAAACCAATTAAACGCGCAAATTTAATTATATGTAAGGAATTTATTCATGTTCTTAATTAAATAAAACAACGAACCTTTCGACGTTAACATTAAATGCTAACATTTTTAATGAGTAAATGCAATCTGTAATAAGTATGTATATTAAATTGTTATATAGACTTTTTACATATATTTCTAGAGCTGATCTGTCAGTGTTGCCGCACAACGCTAAGTTACATTACAATTTTGCTAACTTCCTGAAGGATGTTGAACAACAAGAAAACGCCATCAAACACTACAAGGAAGCTTTGAAGTAAGTATAGATTGCATAAACGCCTAATCCATATTAGTAACATTTCTAAAATATATATATAATATTTTCTAACAGTAGTCAAATTCAATCGAATCCAATGGGCCCTATCAGAATAGCAGCGCCTTTTGTGTCATTCTGCCCATCTTGATGTTGCACAGGGGCCATCGCTGAGATAGGGTTGTGTTTAGTTTTATTATATAGGAGCATAGGAACTCGCGTTAGGGAACATGTAGCTAACGTTAAGCTTAGGCGCCAAATAAATCTGCAGTGTGTGAAAATGCGTTAGGAGGACCCAAGTATTACATAAGATTCGACAATCCAAAAATACTTGCGGCTGATCAAAAACGTCTCTAGAATGATACGTGAGGCTATTGAAATGAAAAACATCTGAATTTTAATAGAGATGAAAGTTGGCATATTATGTAATTTTATTATTAGTTAAAGAAAATTACAATCCAGATGACACATTGCAAAACCAAAATATACAATTAGTTCATTCTGAAAATATTAAATTAAAGGGAGCAGTTCACTTTTCTTGTCGGAGTTTGTTTCGCTAGTTCTTCTTAGACAAGACTCCAAAATTTGGAATTAGTGGTAGATTACGGTAGCCAGGGGTAAATAAAGAAAACAATGTATTTTTAATCAAATTTAATAAATGTTAAAGTTTCCAAAAAACATTTTTTTTATTATGAGTATATCTTACAGTATTGTTTTGAAGGAAAGATAAATCAACACCGTAGTCTTATGTGAACACGGAACCTGTAAAGGGTCGAAATGTCAATAAATCTAACAACAAACGCGATGAAAGCGTTTAAAACTTTCGTAGTTTTTCTTGTTAAATCTTTTCAATTGTGTTGAAGTGAATTTTATGAAGGCAGTATAATGTTTTCGTTTCAGATTATGGCCAAGCTACGCGAGTGCTCACAACAACCTCGGCACGTTGGTGCTGGCGTCCGGGCGCGCCGAATACCATTTCCTACAAGCGCTCAAGTATAACAGGGACCACGTGAACGCTCATTATAATCTCGCCAAATTGTATCGGTAAGTTATTCCGAGGTAATTCATCTAATATGTTATAAATTTTTAAATCTATTTGGTTTTTATATTTGATCAATTTGTCATTCATAATGCTATACTGAAAAATATTGTTAATGAAAAATACTTAAAAATCCACTTTGTCCCCTAGCATTTTGAGAAGGGAGTTGAACCCATGATCTTTCGCGATCGCCTGGACTGCTTTCAATTTGGTTATTAAATAATGAGGAAGTATTCAAAAAAACGAAAGCTCTAAAAAAAGCACCTCTAGCTTAAGTTGATTTTTGCAGGAAATGAATGGACCAAAGACAGTCATTTCCGTTCCTTTTAACTAACATATAAAAAACTGAAATTTGAAAAATTCGAAACTTCGATATCAATACAAATACAAAAAAGTACAAATAAAATATGAGTTGTTTATTGAGTTTTGAAAACTAATTGACTTTTAAACATGAAAGAAAACCGTAAAAGTTGTTATGGAGGAATTAAGAACGTACCGTAGCGACATCTAGTTCGATTTCGGGAACTAATGTTTTTTTTTAGTACTTCCTCATTACACTTTCATCTGCTATATTCTGCCAACATTACAAAATGAAACGTCAATTAGCTTAGCATTTGGCACTCGTTGTTATGCAGCAAACCATTTCAAAGCACATCTTCAGGATTGTCATCATTTATCAATCTTGAAACTAGATAAAGTTTTTTGTAGGATTTACTTATATTATTTATATCTGGAATTTAAAACATAAAATTATATTTGCTATTGAATAACTTTGTTTATGTATGAATATCGACTTCTGTTTTATTTTTGTAGTACCTATAAAATAAGATGTCATTTTTTAGGGTTCCCTATTAAATATGTAATAAAATAATGTTAATCTTATTGGTTTTAATAAATTAGCTTGGAAATCACGTGTGGATTGGAACGTTTTTGACTGAGCACTGAGCATAAGACAGATTTGTAACCACAACTCTAGTCTTTTTTGGGTCTTAGTACACATTATGCATTGAGGTGCGTTGTACTCTTTTTCTGCACAGACGTGTTTCAAAGCTAGTCAAAACTACTAAACCCAAAAGTGTGAGTGCGTAGAAACTGTGATATGCACTCACACTTTTGGGGAAAGAGTCTGGGATCAAGAAGGGACGACTCCATTTCCAGTTCCTGACCATAACTCTAGCCCATAAAAATATTTTTTTACTAGCCTAACCAAACGCTTTAAACATCGGCGCAGGACAGTGAAAAATCGCTATATCTTATCTATATCTAACCAAACGTTGTTTATTATATTCTATACGATAAATAAAGAATAAGTTATCGACAAAAAAATTGAGAAAATAATCGTACACACACAGTGCCCTGTTATGTACACTCCGACGCAAGATATCTCAGTTAATGAAATTCAAGTTATCTTCTTGTAAAGATTACTAATACTGTTGAGAACCAACAATAAATATTTGTCTATATCACCACAATATTCCTTTGCTATTAACAGGAAAAAGCAACGTCTAAATGAAGCTCTGAAAATGTTAGAACGTTGTATTGCCTTGGAACCGCGCTTTGTTCAAGCTTATTTGGAACTGCTTCTTCTCACTGATGAAGCGGAAAGAAGACCCATTCTGGATAAGTTGCTGGAGCTGCAACCAGACAATTGGGAACATTATGTGCTCTACGGGAATTGGTATAAAGGAAGAGGTAGGCTAATTCATACGAGGCAAACGTTTATTACCTATCATAAAAAGGCTTGCCATATTTTTTTATTCAAAACAGCATATCCATAGTTTTTTCTCATTAGGTTTATCCTAAAAAAGTGTAAATTTTATGTTAGAGTTATTGTACAGCATCTTTTATAATATCGTCATAGTGAAATGCACAAATAACATTTTTTATTATTGTTAGTTACATTTACTTCAGTGTCTTTTTAATTGTTTAAAATCAAGCATAGTTTAGGTTTTATAGAGAAAACTTTAACGTTTATTTGAAGTTTATATTCTAGATATTTCTTTTAGGTGAAACGAAAGAAAACTTTAGGTGTTATTAGAAATGTCTGGAATATAAGCTCCAAATAATCAGCGAGACCTTCAAGTGTAAACAGTGTCACTGTCCTCCAGGTCTGTTACCGACATCGTTAGAGTACTACATGTCAGCGATGCGGCTGTCGTTCGTAGCAGAGGCGGGCGCGGGTGGAGGGGCGGCGGCGCGGGCGGTGGGGGCGGCGGCAGAGCGCGGCAGGCTGCAGGCGCTGCGGGCCGCCGCGCTCCTGCTGCGCACCAAGGGGCAGACCGCCCGGGTGCTGCAGCTTATCATAAGGTCGGTGAAGGTGCTTCAGAGGTATTTTTATTGACAACGTCATCATCAGCTTCTAATCTTATGGAAGATCCGTCAAGCGTCTTACGGAAGTATGCGTCGAGTATGGAACGTTGAATGTCATATAGCTATTTGTCAGATTTAACTCTCCGCGAAAGGTTAAATGCAACTTTAGCTCTAAATAATAAACGTTTGATTACCATCAGAATCCTTGGGAAATCCGCTGCACCAAAGCCCCCACTCTAACTCCTTAAAAACTTTTTTTTTGGGACGGAGAGGACAAAGAAACTGAAAAAGACCTCGACTTTCCGATAGATAAAAAAATAATGTAATCATCATAACTAGTAACACATTGCACTGGTACAGATGGCACGGGGTGCGCGGTGGCGGGCAGCCGCTCTCTCGTCGCGTGCGTGCGTCGCGCGCGTGGCGCCTGCACACCGAGCTGGCGGGCCGCGCCGCGCTGTACGCCCGCCCCGCCACACACCACGACAAGGTGTCTGCACCACACCCTCACACACTGTACTATCACACCGAGCTGGCGGGCCGCGCCGCGCTGTACGCCCGCCCCGCCACACACCACGACAAGGTGTCTGCACCACACCCTCACACACTGTACTATCACACCGAGCTGGCGGGCCGCGCCGCGCTGTACGCCCGCCCCGCCACACACCACGACAAGGTGTCTGCACCACACCCTCACACACTGTACTATCACACCGAGCTGGCGGGCCGCGCCGCGCTGTACGCCCGCCCCGCCACACACCACGACAAGGTGTCTGCACCACACCCTCACACACTGTACTATCACACCGAGCTGGCGGGCCGCGCCGCGCTGTACGCCCGCCCCGCCACACACCACGACAAGGTGTCTGCACCACACCCTCACACACTGTACTATCACACCGAGCTGGCGGGCCGCGCCGCGCTGTACGCCCGCCCCGCCACACACCACGACAAGGTGTCTGCACCACACCCTCACACACTGTACTATCACACCGAGCTGGCGGGCCGCGCCGCGCTGTACGCCCGCCCCGCCACACACCACGACAAGGTGTCTGCACCACACCCTCACACACTGTACTATCACACCGAGCTGGCGGGCCGCGCCGCGCTGTACGCCCGCCCCGCCACACACCACGACAAGGTGTCTGCACCACACCCTCACACACTGTACTATCACACCGAGCTGGCGGGCCGCGCCGCGCTGTACGCCCGCCCCGCCACACACCACGACAAGGTGTCTGCACCACACCCTCACACACTGTACTATCACACCGAGCTGGCGGGCCGCGCCGCGCTGTACGCCCGCCCCGCCACACACCACGACAAGGTGTCTGCACCACACCCTCACACACTGTACTATCACACCGAGCTGGCGGGCCGCGCCGCGCTGTACGCCCGCCCCGCCACACACCACGACAAGGTGTCTGCACCACACCCTCACACACTGTACTATCACACCGAGCTGGCGGGCCGCGCCGCGCTGTACGCCCGCCCCGCCACACACCACGACAAGGTGTCTGCACCACACCCTCACACACTGTACTATCACACCGAGCTGGCGGGCCGCGCCGCGCTGTACGCCCGCCCCGCCACACACCACGACAAGGTGTCTGCACCACACCCTCACACACTGTACTATCACACCGAGCTGGCGGGCCGCGCCGCGCTGTACGCCCGCCCCGCCACACACCACGACAAGGTGTCTGCACCACACCCTCACACACTGTACTATCACACCGAGCTGGCGGGCCGCGCCGCGCTGTACGCCCGCCCCGCCACACACCACGACAAGGTGTCTGCACCACACCCTCACACACTGTACTATCACACCGAGCTGGCGGGCCGCGCCGCGCTGTACGCCCGCCCCGCCACACACCACGACAAGGTGTCTGCACCACACCCTCACACACTGTACTATCACACCGAGCTGGCGGGCCGCACCGCGCTGTACGCCCTCCACCACACAGATTTGTGTAGGATCGATTGTATGTATTTGACTCATGTTCATATCCAAAGATGTCCGGATCTCATGGTAGGTCTCATTCTTGTAAGTTTCGATCACAATACATAACATCAGTGTTTTTGTCGTTCACAACGGTGCACAGGTGTCCTTCACGAATTTCATCACGAAGATAGACACGATCGTATTTGAATTCTGCAAACCAGCTATACATAGTAGTCTAGCATGGTATTTCTTATTCAAAAGCAGATTAATACCGAATGATGCTCTGATAAAACTGCCAAATTACATTTCAAATCATAAAAAATTATACCTACACTGAAAATTTTACAGAGTAAAGTCCATTTTAATGTAATCATGCAATTGTTAAAATAACGCCATAGTGTGAAAAAAAATATCAATCAGACAAAACAGTCGTATTCAACGGCATTTTTTTTATGTAGGTAGTAATAACTTTTTAAAATTATTTATATAAGTAGCCTCTTCCAGAAACTTTTAACATTTAGTGTGATCTGTGTATAGTTGAACAAAAAGGAAAGGAGAACCTGTCATACACTTAAAGATATTTAAAAATAAAGCTTTGTGTAATATAAAGCAATACAAAATTGGAATAAAAGAAATCGCAATTTTCAATTATCGAAACAATAGAGCCAAATATGATTTAGAACTACTTACGTTAAAGAACACCCAACCAACGAACCGACAATAGAAAAACTAAATTAGTCAATATCCATTTATTCTTTCAACAAACTGAATCAATCAATTGGATGATGAAATGTTTCAGTCGAGTTGTAATTTGATTGATAAAAAAGCATTATTATTTTCAGATAACATCAACGTGTCTCCATCATAGCCATCTAGAAATAAAAAAGAATTCTTATGTTAACAACATTAAAGAAAAAGCTCATCCGACGATGCACGGCGACGACGCCCCAGGTTACATGCATAAAGCGCCAGTGCTCCGGGTGGCAGATAAAATAGTGGACAATAATATTAACAATAAGAATAATTGCCAAAAAAGTGATAGTATAAAGAAGAGTGTATCTATATCAACTCAATATAAACCAACACACAATAAATCCGAAACGGGACACAAGCAAAAGAGCTGCCCTGTACACAAGAAAAAGAAAATTAAAACACCTGAATCCTTTACTCCGTTTGTATCAGACCATTTGATAAAGACTTATTAGGTTATAATAATATTAATTTAAGGTTCATTACTGTGGTGAAACATAACAAGCTGTATTATATAATTTTAAATGTTATGATGATGTAAAAAATACTGTAGAAATTAAAACGCTCTGGAAATGATTGTAATGAATTAGTGTTTGTATTTTTTTTTTTTGTTGTCTAAATCATATTCATAAATAAGGTCTTTATTTCACTTATTTAAAATAAATGGAAGTGAATACTGTTTATTAAAATTTATCACCAGTTTATAATAGTTGAATTGTTTTTTAAAGCGTTTTTAAATATCAAGGCTAACCAGGATTTTAATCACCTGAAAAAATTACAATCCGAAAAAAAAACTGAAATTCATATATACACCTGTTTTCTCCGGATGAAATATAATGAAGTTTTTATAATTTGTTATATATTTTTGGAAATAATGATCTTTACTATAAATATTTGATATTTTATGCCTTTATCAGCGGTTTCAATTATATTTCTTGCCTTGTATTTAACAAGTTATCAAATAATAATTTATTTCTCTTCCACATTTAGATTTAAATTACAATCAAGAGAACAAAAACAATTTTAGAGTTGCCAATCCAATTAATGGGAAACTGGAAGCTAACACTGTACTTAGTAGTAAACTAACGGTCAGTTGCACAAACGTCCATTAAGGTTTAATGACGCGTTTAAGCTCTAATTAATTGTAAGGGTAATGCAATTGTAAGGTCAAATTTGTAAGGGTAATGCCGCTTTAAAGTAATGAAATTTTTAATGGACGTTTATGAAATTGGCTGTAAGCTCTTTATTTGACAAAAACAATAAGGAAAACTGCTAACACAGATACGAGACCGTAGAAGTACTTTTGATATGCATCCAAATGTCGCACAGAATGATTCCAGTAGTGCGCCTGGCCTTTCTTTAATATTATTTCCTGGGAAAATGAAACTTTTGACTGAATATCGGGATTTTCATCTGCCAAGACCTATTCTTCGAAGGAGACTAGCCACAGTGATCCATCATTTGACAAGACTCCCTCGGAGGCATCGTCGATCATGGTTTTATTGACGAATGAAACGAGCACGGGGTCGTTCGATACTGACGGCAGTATAACTGGCCGTCTGTACGCCGGTCCTAATAGACACTCACCAAGTGTGACTGATACTGAGACAATCCGTCAAATGTTTGAGATGAACCATCACCATAGTCATTCGTTTTGATCATTGAGGGATGGTGGACTAGTAAATGAATGATATACATTTCATTGCACATCATAAATTGAGTTGCTAATCAATACTTTTTAATTTAGATTTTGATAAATAGAAGCATTTTGATAGGAAACCGATAACATGTATACGGATCTTCATTGATAGAAAAATAAATTGTAGAAAAATATAACAACAGCCCCATCTCTTGGCTGTCAAAACCAATGAATCAGTGATAATTTAAATATTGTGTTTTTTACATATTATGAAATTGTGATAATCTTAACAACACAATTGACTTTGTTGATGTCATTTCTATAAAAATTAAGAAATGACACTACTTAATCAATAAACAGCGTGAAATTATTAAATAACATCAAATTGAAAACTTAGCGTCGATAATCTGCCGTTAATTATTTAGTTTCAATAACGAAGTAAGAAATTTTGCAAGTATCTGTTCGTTTTATAATGTATATTTTAGAAATGCAGTGACATTGAGCTTTCTGTATGTTGCATATACGTTCTATTTTAATTAATATTTAATGAATATGACTTATGTGAAAAAAAATTGAGTACCAAAATCACTGATATCATACATTGTAAGAATTGTTGCATGCTTTTGATATGTATTAACATAAAAATGCCAAACTAAAGATATTCATCAAACTACACCTGATTAAAATATTGTATGTATTTGTATTATTTTACACTCACTGAGTGTAAGGTATCTTTACAATGTAGTATTTATCAACAAAATATTGTAAATATTTGTAAATGTCAAATAACGATATCATAAATTGTAATGTTGTAATTTAAATTGTAACATAATCAATAACGAATGAGAAACTTAATGCACGTGTTGCTTTGGGTGTTTTGATTTGTTTACACAATAAATGAAGTTGAGACATGATTATATATTTTTTATTCTGCTTTCAGTACGGCAATTTTGAAGCAAAATTATTTAGTTAAGTAATTTTCTCTCATCTTTCGAAGTTTTCAAATAGTAGTTCTTTATTTGCTTACTTTGATTTTGAAATCTTAGATTTTATAGGATCTGTTACGAAATCTTCACGGAAATATTCCCTTTCTTCTCTCCCTTGACTATTGAGACTATCTAGTCATACACATCAAGGCTGCATTGCCTTTCAATTTTCTAATGTCATAATAAGGTTAAATTTTTCAATAAAACCTTAATCAGCCAGCAAATGAAAAATTAATGAAGCCAAACTCATATCATTGCAAAACTTTTCGCGTTGCTGATAAATTACAAATCCTCTAACAATATAAGAGACAGAAAAAAATCAATAGTACCCACTCCAACTCTATAATAAGACCACTTAGTTTTCTATTGACTGGCTCTGATATTACAAAATTGCAATTTGTTACTTTTAATTATAAACTCAATGCGTTCGACAGCAAGCACAAATTGGGCAACGAGAATACTTCAGGCAATCTCACTGCACTAAAATTTACACTATATTGATTAGTGTTGATATTTCATATGCACTTAATGTGCTCCGCGCTATATAAAATCGTGAAGAAACATTCTGATATTGCATCGATTTTCAACATAGTTTTTCGAAGACAAAACACTGCAATGAATAGAGCATTATGAAATTAATGAATCGGCTCAACAGTTTTGGATGTTTTAACTACTTGAACACGTTCCAGTGCTAGGTAATGTCGATTAGTACTGAAATATAAAAAATAATAATTGAAGAAACGACGCGCTGGTAGTATTCGTGTTTATTTTCTATTTTATGACTTCTGCCAACCTACCATTTTTAGTAAAGGTTAATTGTAAAGAACTCAAACCCATGAACTTTCGCAATCCGGGTCACTGCTCTAACGTTGAGCTACCCAGGACCTTACACGACTGACTTTTACAAGCACTTGTTGCTTTTTCGCTACTACGGAGTGAATTTTCTTTAATATTCCGAAAATCCACCCAAACAGGCGAAGGACGAACGTCAGTCTCGAAGTCAGTCCTGTTAGATCCTGGGTAGCTCTGTGGTTAGAGCAGTCGCCCAGGCCCAGGTTAGAGCAGGGTGCCGGGGATCGTATGGACTTTATTTAGCATTTTTCATTAAGAATAATTTTCAGTATAGCATCATGAATGCAAAATTGATCAATAATCAGATTATTTGTGTCATTCTTGTCTGAAAAATCTAATTTGTGACTGAAAAACGGCGATATCGCTACTAAACAGCAAAATAAAGCAAAAGAATCCGTCAATGCAGCTCCATCTGCGATTGATTTGAGCAAAAAACAGTAGTTGCACCATTGGGGCCAATCTGGTCAAGGGAACTATTACAGAATCCCAGACAGTTAAATAGTTTATATTATTTTGGACAATTTCGAAAGGTCATGCGCTAAAATTATTGAATAAATAATAATAAATGTTCCGGTTACGCTGTATGAGGCACGACGACGGGGTTTAGTAAGGCGGCATAATTTTTCTTTGGGTCATTGTTGAACTTGAAAAGATGGTTGCGATGTTTTCGTGAGTTCACCGTTTAAGTAAAGAATTTTAGATCGAATTGATGTTATTTTGTCGTAATATTTATGCAACGTTTTTTTAGTTAAGTCCGCCGCTTTAATGGTAGAAACTGTAACATAAATATATAGATAGTTATAAAAACCCGTTGAAATATATTAATTAACTGATTACTAACGATTTCGCGCACTATCCACAAATGAACTACTTTAAAACGGTTTGATCGCGTTTTTATTTAGTTATATTGACGTTTTAGGCTAATTCTACAAATAAATTTTGTTTAAATGGAATCGAAAACGGATCGAAAACGGATCGAAACTGAACGAAACTACTAAGTGTCATATGATACAATTCCAGCTAAAATAGAACTGAAATTGTATCGTATGTCACTTTGTAAAATAGGAAAACCATTAAAAACTGTAGTTTCGTTCGGTTTCGATCCGTTTTCGATTCGGGTTAAACAAAATTTATTTAGTAGAATTAGCCCCCAGGTTCCGTGTTTACATAAGATTCACAGTACACATTTTTTATATTTTATGGCAATGTTTACATTTATTAAATTAAATGATTTTAAAAGTACATTTTACATACAAACAAACTCCGACGAGAAAAACGAATTTATTGTTGGAGTTTATTCCGAAACGACAATAAAACTAAATACGAACGCGATGAAACGTTTAAAAGTTGTTTCATATAAAGACAACACTTTTGATATTACCTGAAGTAGTAGCATTCTTGGCAGTTGATGATACAAGCAATTAAGCAAAGTTTAAAAGTATTTGTAGAACTAATGGAAATCATACTTAGCTATAATAATTATGCCCAGCTTATATAGGTAATATGGGCTATAATTTACGTGGGCCAATCCGCGGGAAGATAGCTAATTAAACTTGAACTTGAAGAAGAAGGAATAGACTTACGACCCGATAAGATGAACCCACATGGACTTAAAGAAAAACTAAACTGCGTCTTCCTTCGAAACTTCTTTACATACACCAACAAACATAATTTACCTTCGCATTTTTTTTTTTTAAATGACTTATCATGTTCGATGTCTCTATTAAGTAAATACTTTGCTGAATTCAAAGGTTGCAGGACAATATGGCCAACGTATAAGGGAGGCGTATGCTCAGCAGTAGGCGTTCTACAGCTGATGATGACGACAACAGTATCACAAACGGTAGTGTAATAGATTTTACAAATGTTCAGTTTCACAAAATACCTAATCGCCAAATATACATAGATCCCTAATTGTTGTCTTTTATTTGACAATCTTTGATAACATTATATTCCAAGGTGACTCTTGTACTCTATGTCATTAATAATAATCTAACTGTAACAAAGTCTTATAAATACAAAAGTCTTTGAACTGTAAAAGAAAGTCAATCGTTTATTTTGGTTACATTTTTTGTCCTCTACAGATGTCTTATAACATTCCCACTTAGGTTTTAACTAAACAAGTAAAGAAGATAGTGAAGATCAGTGTAGTCTGGATATCGATAATTTCACCATTAATTTGTAGTCACCTGAAAAATAGTGATCCTTACTATTACTTTTCCATCAGCAATAATGGTTTTGTATTGCTATAAAAGTATATCACGTTCTGTTATCGATGAAATGACCACTGTTAATGATAAAACGAAGTCTGCATGTCATACCGCAACGATTTCAAAAACGTCTATACATTTTCAATAGAGTTGACGATTATTTTTTGTCTGTTTGACCATAAAAACATTAAACATGTATTTAATTATATTTTCGAAATCATTAAAATGTCACATGACGTCATGCTTTTGTATATTTTCTACTAAACTGTGACGTAGCTAGCCCCTACTTCTCAACTTGAATGCCTGTTATGTAAGCTATTTCTTGTTAAATTAAAGTAAAAAAATACGTAATTAATATTTTTCTGTTATCTGACTGACGGACTAAATAGATTTTTACATCCAGTCGTCATCTCTATTCACGTGGTTGTAACACTATGTAGATTCTAATACCTGTAGTAAGTTTGGCAGTAAAAATCTTATAATCACTTAAATTGCGTTTATACGTTTAATTCAAAGTTTCTTAAATCACTATGGAGAATCTATAGCGGTCTGAGACAACAATATTTAATGATTCAGAAAAACACAATAAACTTAGCTGATTCTAAATATCTATAAGTGTTATTATTTAATGAGAATTAATATTTATCGATAACCGAATACCGATAGTATTACAAAACTTAGTTGGCGGCAATATAATCAAAGTAATTGTGAAACGACATTGTTGCATCTAATTACTTTAGGACATCGACTTTGTTTGCTTGTCACTCAATTTATCACGGTTTATCAAGAGTTTTAATCTTACACTGACTTTCCATAAGAAAAACATTGAAACAGTTGTAAGAGTTTACACAAACATTTTGTATGTAATTATTTGTTTAACAAATAATGGAGATTGATGCAGTTTTAATTGCATTGACGATTGTTTTTCAATCTAAGATTAGACAAATTTAGTATACCTTAATATTGAAATTAAGTTTTCTCATAATTTCTATGTATAAGAAGATTTATTTTTAATAATTATGTATTCATAGGAATTATTACTATGTATATATAATTATTGAAAATGAAATAGAAAAAATCTCATAGTCACTCTGCCACGGAGATTGTCCAAACTCCGTATAATAATCTGCCTCTAAGTATTACTGTTATAAAAATTTAGAATTCTTATTAAATTATTTTTTAATCTAATGTTATTAAATTTTATAAAGTAAATGATACAAAAACCTGGAAAGATTGCAATTTTAATTTGAAATGTTAATGTTGATTCCACTTCAGCTGAGCAATCCTACGAGCAATGTCAGTTGCGTTAGTTCTCCTACGGATATTCTCGTTCCTTATTAGAAACGGAAACACCAAGTATTGCTCTATCGACTGCTCATCGGGTGATCTTGAGCCTGCTTATGAGACCCATAGTAAACGACCACGTTTCACTTCCGTGGGTCATCACTGGCGTCTTGTTGCCTCATTTTATGTCTTGCTTTCATAAGTTGGAGAGTGTTGTCGGAGATTTCTTACGTTCTGGGACGGCGGGTTTTAATATACTTAGATCTACCATCCGGACAGTATCCACGACCATGATGTCTAGATCGTCCACATTATTAAGCTGTTCTCGTGAAACACGAGTTGAATTTGTGCAGGCGTTGGTCGGAGCGTTAATTAAATCAGTCAAGATCAAGCTTGATATTTATATTCAATGTGCCTCGTAAAAGTCGATGATCACTTTCTGTTTCAACGGCATTTATGACAGATATCATTGAATATTTGTTTTTTTGTTGACATGATAAAATCTATTTAATTTTACACTTTGCCGTCGGGACTTATCCTCCTCCATTTTCGGTTCTGTGCCTTCCCAAAGAAGGAGTTCATCATAAAAATCATCCGGGCCTCTGGCGTTCCATTGTCCAACTCTAAATTGCCCCACTTTTAACTAATCACCGCAACGTTTTCCCAATTTCGCGTTGAAGTTCCCCATCACAACCGTGTAGTGGGTATTTTAGTTATGTATGGCTTTTGAGATCTCCTTATGGAGGTTATGTCTCCACTTCTTCATCTGATTGCGTCGAGGTTGAAGCATAAACCTGTATGATGTTCAAAGAATATCGTTTTCATATTCCGAGTACCAGAAATGCTAAGAAACGCTACCCCGGTCGATGCACTTCCAATGGGATGTTGTTAACAAGGGACTTATGGCCGATAAACCGGACACCATTTAAGGACTGTTGGTCGCCCTTCCGGTACCCTTATTACTTATCACTTAAAGAATTGGGTAGTTTCTTTCGCTTGTTCTTCTTGTCAGCTAAAAGTCGTCCTGAACAAGTGGTAGGGGAAAAAAATGTTTTTGGACTATTCAAAAGTGCTTGTAATAAGCCTATTTGAATAAAGATATTTTCATTTCATTTTATTTCACTTTAAAAAATTATCTTATCCGGTAACTTTATTATCGGGATTATCGGGTCCTCCCCCTCTCTTCAAACTTTAGATAATCCTATAGTGTCCCAGCGTAGCTTCCAACACCGTTAATTTCGCGACGATCCTCAGCGTACGCGTATTGTAAGTGGCCAGGTCGAGTCTTTGTAGATGGAAGCCGATATTTCAATAAAATGTAATGTTAAATAAAATTTTGGTATTTTAACCCTATACAGAAATATGCATCTACATCCAAAATTGCACTTATTATTGTATAAAAAAAATTGAAACGCTTATATGTTTTTACAGATCCATTTAACTTAAATAAAATTTCTATGTTGGACCTGCAATTAGTACTCAGAATTTGTTTAATAATAAAAACATTTTTCAAAACTTAAAACTTTAAAAAATAATACTTTAATTATAAGCAGTTAATTTTGTCAAAAAGACATTGAAGTAGGGCTACTGTTTTCTGTAGTTTATTAAATGATAACCGTCTGACTTCAATGTTTCTTAAGAAAAACACATAAACAACACATAATAAATAAATGAACATAGAAATTTCTCTTTGCAGATTTTCAATAAGGGCAAAAATCGGTATCTTTGTTTTTTCGCTATCATAAATATATCTGATGAAAAGCATTTTGTTATAAAAGAAAATGACTGATAATTAAGCTGTCGAACAAAATTAATTTTGAAAATCGATTCAAAGTACAGAAAAAAAAAACATACAGTCGAATTGAGAACCTCCTTCTTCTTTAAAGTCGTTTAAAAATTGAAACGGTTTATTACTTAAGCTTTCATCAGGCTTTAAGGATTTTTGAACAAGGTAGATAATTAGATTTAAATGGTTAACTGGGTCAATGTCATTGACCTTTATTACAGCTCATAATTACTATCGCAATATTATCAATTAATCTGTAACCTATTATTCAGTCATCAAAATGAATCAAAATCCAGTAAAGGTATTACAACTTACTTATGTTTTTATTTTCATTGCTGTCTTTTCGAGAATTTTCTTTACTGATTTCATGGAGATTTATTCAAATCTAAAGGTTTATTTATGCAATCGTGCGACAGTCAATCGCCCGTTGAAATTATGTAACGACCATAACAGCTGGAATGTACCCACACAAAAAAATGTGTACTTACTATAGTCTGCGTAAAATCAATAAGTACTTATCATTAAATACACCGCGGGTTGCGGCAGATTGTGCAACCAAATCTCACGGTCAGATGGTAAAAGTGACAATTCGATAATTCACGGCCATTTTCACTGTTCGAAAAATCGCGCAAATAATCGGGCGGGAAAACGATTAGAGGCGGGCGTTATGAACGCTTTCTAGGTTCATCGGCTGCGGCCGCGCAGAGCACAGAACGCGACGCACCCGCGCACCCGCCGGACGAGCAAATGTTTACTCACCGCTTGTTATAAACTGAAGCAGCCGGCGACGAAGACATAAACGCTCGTTCAGTCGCAGCACACTCGCCAGTGTGGCAACTGATCCTTTTCGTAAGTCAGTGAACGGCACGTATATAACAAAAAAAACGGACACTTTTCAGCGCAGAAATGCGGGCGGCGCTGATCTGTCTACTGGCCGTCGTGGCCGTAGCGGCCGGGGAATATGCGGAAGAACCGTGGGTGGAGGAAGAAGACGTGGAAGACAATTACGACGATGAAGCAGAAGAGACGCAGAGCCGCAGGCGACGTGAAGTGTACGTGGAAGGTCCTTATGAGGAACACGTGAGGATTAAACGATGCGATGATGAACCCGTCCACCGTGTGCGACGCTCGGCTGAGTATGTCAGAGTCCCGAGACAGGTGCATCAATATGAAGTGTACGAATTCTCAGACGATGCGGCACCCGCTTCACCACCATATGAAGAGATGTTGGCCGCAAGCGCTGACCATTACCACAGAGTGTACGCGGCTCCCGGTCAACCGGCCGCGAGATATCTCAACCCTGAAGTGAGTGTTCCAGAAGAAGTACCTTTATCACCTGTGGCGTCTCATCCTGCGCAGTATGTCGCGGCTCCTAACCCTGTTTATAGCAGTAAATATGTCGCTGCACCCAAAACTGTTTTAGGCGATAATATACATGTTGTGGCACCCCCTAACGCTAATCCTAATGTGTTTAACGATCATATCAAATTTGTGGCCCCTAAAAATGCTAGGCATAACAAACCCGTTCAGTTTGTGGCTCCTCATGTTGGGAACGTGGCAGCCGCTGCTCCTGTGATACCCATTCCAGCGGCCGTGGCTTCGGTTCCCGTGGCAGTGGCTCCTGTACCGTTAAAACAATTGTCTAGTGGAGATTTATTGGGCTCGGCGGCTGGTCATCATGATAAGCATCATCATGGTCATGAGGCAGGTGGTGGACATCATCATCATGGAGGTCATTACGGAGAACATGGTGGAAAGGTGAGATAATGTCACATTATTATATTAAAAATATATTGCATGGTATTTTAGGTATCAACAAACCAAAATAATTATTTCTTGTGTCATATCAACTAACAGATTAACTAAAATTCAATAAAAAATTCAACAAACTTAACATAAATAAAATTTAATAACAACATCACGAATAAAGTTTATCTTTAGATATTGAATTACCACGTTCGCCAGATGATTTACTTATCAATCATTACTATTCACGAAACCAATTATTTGTTCTACTTTATTGATAAAATAGATAAAAACTTCAGGCGGGACTATTTAAACTTCATAGATTTAGGGATACCCATTGTAAATGTGACTTTTAACTATTTATAATTTTATTGAAGTCTGATGAATTCATATCATGTAAGCTTCCATCTAAAATGAGGGTGTCTAAATATTATATACCTCTCGTGTATCAGTAGAATAACTGAAGTCCTTGAAGTTTCACATTATTGGTTTTTATTTAATTATTCATTCGGTCACTAGAAGCAATCATCATTATCACTAGTCCATTACCCATTAATACTACAAATACTACAATTAATATATGTTATTTTATAGACAATGGTTTGATAGAATTTTGTTTTGAAAAATATTTCATATATAAAGTGCCAGGACTTCGTGGGTTGGATTTCATAAATATACAGAACAACTTTTGCTATGGGAGCAAAACTGAATTTACGAAAAAATAATCAGCTGTTTCATACTATTGGTGAATGTAGGTATTACAATTTGTATAAAAGATCTCAGTTTTTGTGCAGAAAAAATAAATTATTATTATTATTACGAAGTCCTGACACATAATAATATTACACCTCATATGTACAATTTCACAAAATAGTCAATACTCAGAATAGTTATTTTAAAGAAAATTATGTACTACGTTTGTTACAAATGAAATTCATTGAACCGATATCCATATCAAAGAATAACAAATAGTATATTCTTTTTCCATATCGTTTGGTAAATATGAAAATATCTTGATTTTAGAAAAATATTTTTTTTTTACTTATATATTTGGGAAAATTTTCCTTTTTGATAATATCTGTTTTCTTCATAATTTTAACTAATTGACTTTTCAAGTATAGTCTAGTCTAATAACGAATAGTTTTTGGCGGCAAATCATTGTCTATTAAACAAAATTTTGCGAAAATATAAAATATGGTATTCACTTCTTAGTAGACACCTTACCTTATATTATAAAATTTTGTTTATTAACTTTATAACAATTAATGAATCCTCTTTTTTAAATTGGGTCAGTAGTTTTTGAATTTATCCATTACAAATAAGAATGAAAAATACAATTTATTCTGTGTGATCTCTAATTCATAAACTCAATTTAAAGTTAAATTCACACCACGTTTTCATTTAAATTCAATCACTATTTTTTTTGTGAATGCCGAAAAGCTAGTGATTCACAAAGGGAAAAATACGCACTCTCCCATTTTAAAGAGAAATGTGTACAAAGTGTTATATTTGTGGGGTCTTCTTACGTAATAACTATGAAAACTTCTCTGTAATAAAAACAAGAGCTGGATCTGCCGCTTCCCGTATATAGCATGACGTAGGTATTAAATAGATAGCTCGTAAAAAATTAACATATTGGAATATCAACTTTTAATTTCTATTGAATACTCTAATACAATAGTTAATTTGAATATGAAAAAATTTACGTAAATAATTATTTCTGTAATAAAGTAACTTTTACTTTTAACGACTTTTTTCAACAGCTATTTCTGCAATAAACGAACGTCAATGTCCTTTTCCAAGATAGTTATATAAGTATAAATAGTAGTAGGGATATGTAAATAACTTTAAAACATATTTTTTGTACTTTTTTTAATTTTAATTTTTTTATTTTTAGTATGAATCAAACGCAAAAAAACATCAAAAACAAATGCACAATAATACGGTCATAGTATATCTGATATTTACGTTATTCATACAATACCAACTGTTTTCCAGCGATTTTGTCCGCTTTAATTATATATATCATAATGTAACCAACGTATTTTATAGGTATAGCTTCCTGTAAGTGAAAGAATTATTACCAGTAGCTTCGAAGCCTATTCGATGCAAACAAACAAGCAATCAAATATTTCCTCTTTATATTATTAAAGTTTATCATTAAAAAAAAACTGAAACTTTTTTAAGGCAGATTTACCTTTTTAAGCAAAAATAATGGCGCATAAACTCCTCGACGTGGTCCTGTTAAAATTACACTATGTCATACTTGTGAACGGGGAAATAATGATGGTTAATTTTTCCATAAAATAATTAAACAACATACCTAGTTTTGTGTTTGAATTATATTGTTACTTAAAACATTCAACATCACGGTAGACTTACGGTTAACTTTTCTATGATTTATTAATCTAATTTGGTCTCAACTGTGTCAACAACTTGTATTTGGAGTTGCTTTGTTATCTGAATCATGGGCTACGGTGAGAGGTTCTCTAGTTCAGCAGTTAGCTAATACATTCAGTCTAATAAATAACACACAAAAACCGAATCTCCGCAATTTTTGATAACCGCAGTGTGTAGCCAAATATTTAGTATCAAGGTTTCTTAGAGGCTCGGATTGATCTCGGTGGCATTAGTAGTTGAGAATACCCACCAATTTTAATTGCATCTCTATACTTAGACCCATTCTTCTCCATATTGGCTATGTGTATAAAAGCCTGTGTATATATATAAAAGTAATAAAAGCCTGTAACTCAGAGTGAGTATTTATATAATAGGTTGATGGCGAAATAAATTAAACTGATTCTTATACAAATGAATAAGTATACTGGGTAACATATCCTGGGATCATTATGCCTTTAACGACATCGACATATCTAACCTTGCCGTACTCGAATCTATTATCATCTAGCTTTGTCAACCAGTCGTCGGCTGTTATTTAGTAGAACAGTCGGAAATTAATAGAAGCTTATAATGAACACGAAACTTAATTTGACGATTGATTTTTGTATACAGATACTGTGGTTTGTTCAATATCCATTAAACGCAGTCACTGATAGGGTCAATTAGAAACCATCAAAAATAAAATATACCTGGCGAAACGTCGTGACAAAAATAAATAGACATTTAACTTGAGAATCTCCTTCTTATTAAATAAAATATAAATGACTTTAAAAAAATACATGTTGCCTACTTAAAATTTGCAAATTTATCTTCAGACATCAACAACAACATCAGGTATCAACAACTTGGTCAGGATATGTAATAAAATATTGTCACAAACATTTCCAGCATACCGAGGGTTTCTCTGGTGAACATCACGTAGATAAAGGTGCAAAGGGACACAAAACTGATCACCATCATCGCAAGGAATACGAAGAGGCCGCTGGCAAGAAGCGAAAGCATCACGACCAGGCTGGACACAAGGGCAGCCACGAGGAAGAGGCTCATGGATCGAGAGGTGCCAAGTTCGATGAGAAGAAAGGCCACAAGAAGGGACACAAAACGAAAGGTATGTGGAAAGAAAAAATATTAGGTTGCGTTTTATCTACAGGTCATTGAAATAGAATAGAATTATAATAAGCCTTAAAAATGATTAGCAATGAGTGATAAATACTTGAAATTCTAAAATAATAAAAGACTCTAAATGTTCTCTTTACATTCAGTGATTCTGTCGATTGGGTCTAGGTTAGTATAGTAGTATTTTAAATGGAACCTATTGAGATGTAGTTTTCAAAGTTTTTATAAACAATTTAGAGGTTATGTTACACTTTTAAGTGTTATGTTAAAGTTGGTCAAACGATTTATATAACGTTTTCCTAAGTAACTAAGTACCAAATCTATTGCGGCCTAATTAGATTTCATGTTTAGTTAAATAACAATCTTTGAATCAATAGAAAAAGTTAATTATATATAAAGCGGTCAGCGGCGGCGCAACGGTGAATCAACAATACAATAACACAGCAAAGGGTCAAACGCTGTTCGGGAAATATAATCAACTTATGCAACAAATCCACTTTCTAGAAGCCGCAAAATATTATATTTTCTACGACAGTGAGCAAGGCCGGCCTACGTGTTTTATTAGTGTAAATTATGCGTGAAATTATAGTGTACATTGATATCGTATCAATCGTAATTTATAATTGTAAGTATAAATTGAAATAAATGTGTTTAAATGTGTTTTAATTGATCATATGCCCGGCGCATATGATGGATGACATAAAATGATGCCTCCGAGCTTCGGAAGCAAGATAAGTCGTTGATCCCGGCAGTATGTACAGTTAACACGAATCCGCGTTGACCTGAGTGCCCCAACGGGGACATTTATGGGTTGATGATGAAGTTGATTTGTTTTAAATGATTTCCTTATAGTCTGTAATTTATTCAAATAGTGTGATAATTATCGACACCTTAATCATCTCCTAGCAATTCCATTATAGCCACATGTACATGTTAACCAATATTTCCGTTTTAATCAATGTATCCAATACATTGCATGTCTCTTGTCAACGCCATTTTGGTGCTAGGAACATCTTTTTTCGCGGTATTATATTTCGGAAATTCCACAGAAAAATCGACCAGTAGTCAAAATTTTTATATTGTGATGTATTAATATTGGACTTATATCTTTCCACATACAGTTTCACATTAACAAATAGTAAGATGATATTTATCTAGTTGAAGTCGTATTTGCTTTCCAATGATTTTTAATTTTAAATAATTGGAGATATTATAATAAAATTAAAATATGAAAAGGTATTGTCCAAAAACAATAAAATACTAGGAAAAACGTGTACTGATTAAATCTTTATCTATCTATAGGTATAGTCCAAATGTTTCTTCATCTGTTCTTCATTAATGTCTTCTTAATGTTTATTCTCCTTATTCTGCATTGTCACAGAGGAAACGATAATAACTGAGGATTGATCCAATCCCTTAGTCAGATGATTAACTTACGGAAGATTTGATTAAAATGCAAAATTAGTTCAGTTATAGGAAAAACACATAATCATTAATATTTTATATGTTTTTATATACTACTTAACGGCGTTATAAAATTAATTTAGTTGGTTAGATTTCCACTTATACTATTATATAAAATAATACAATAATAATATACACGACAAAATGAATAGTTTGGAATAATTACTCATTTATAAAGCAACCAGTCTCAAAATTTTATTTGGTAAAACTTATATTAAAGTACTTAAACAATAAAAAAAAAAACAGGGATAAAAATAAATGGTACAGGTAAAAATTCGCACTATTTTTAAAAAGCGGTAAGCGCGCATTTGCCAAGTGTAGTTGTAGCTCGTATTGCTAGTTTTTGTGATGTCACTGAACACATTTTGAGATTTTATCGAATAACTAGATTTGTAAAGAGTTATTAAAAACCTCTTTGTTTTTACATCTTTTTGATAAAAGTTTTTAGCAATTTCATTAATTTTCTGATTTTATCATATCCATGTGAAATATTTCGCGATATATATACAGACTGTAAATATATACGTATTTAAAGAAACAACGTACGTACATCGCCAATTTATGGACTTTTACTAACTATTCGACAACATCGTAATCACAGTTGTAGTCGCTGACATGCTTTATGTTAGAGTCCCTTTACACTGGCATTATTCTTTTAATACTTTCATTCATTCATTCATTCTTGTTACACTGATAAATTAAATTTCTTTTTCCACGCGGAACAGAAAGTTCCAGGTTATATTTAAACTTTTTAAAGTAAATAAGTTGAATAGGATTTATTAATTGATTAACATGGATTTCAATAGGGTTGCTTTGCCCTGGAACCAAATATTGTTATTACAGTAACTGCTTAATAAATTATAGGGGACAGACATGTTTTATAATTTGTTATCAAGCATCAAAAAATATTTTGTTGAAACGACGTTGACCAGCCATCATAACGTTAACATTAGCAATGATACAGTGTTATGGTTTTTTTTAATAAGCCCTAGTTGATATTATATTAATTTATTAAATTTGTGTTACTATCGCAAAAAGCAACAGTTTTTACATTTAAGAGTAGAAACCGACATAACTGAAAATAACATTATTTAGGGTTCTGTTCTACGTGTCTCGATAGCAATCGCTTACCTTAATACAAACTGTAAATTTGTTATTTTTTTCTATGAAGTTTCGTAGCAGCGAGGCAAATAGAAAAGGTTAATGATACATTTTGTGATTGATTACACCAAATGGATAATATGATTCTGTGGTATCATCGCCATATCACTAGCAGATAATGGTATTTAGGATTGTGCAGAGCAGACATACCAATTCTGACGATAATTAACGTATTATTAATTAAAGTAATGAATCACGTTACAATAATCATAATAATTGGACCAGGACCAGGATTTGATTTTCTCCAAAACCTTTGCCTTCTGCGCAGGTACATCAGCAAATGTCATTATTTGTATCTTACTGTACTGTCGGGGTACATACACTGCATAGACGCCAGTGCGAACGGAACTTATGTTTAATAGCCACGTTTTTTGCAATGGCATTAACTTTTTTACTTTAATGAAGATTTGTTTTTGCTGTTATTTATCCAGTCTAGACCATGTCTAGACTAAGTGAAACTACTTTCAATAAAACAAGCCATTCACGTTTCTTTCAATTCGCTCGTTTCAGGTTACCACAACAAGTACCACAAGGATGAATTCCATAAAGAGCATAAGTTCTACGATGACTTCCACAAGAGTGGTGAACATCACAGATATGGCAAGTTCCACGCCAAGCACGCCAGTGATGAAAGTGGAAAGAAGAAGGCGCACCACGTTAACGCCGGACATGACTTCATGGAGCGAGGCAAGAAAGGATACAGGTAATAAATTATCATAGATCCGTTAAGTAATAGCTTCCGGTTGACAGTAAATGAATACTATACCATAGTAATAGTGCAGTGATGACGCTACTGTTGCGGCACAGGTCTTTTCTATTAGTATGATCGAATTGAAAAGGGAGAGCCCAGTGTGGATCAGTGGTATTAGCAATTGTGGGTATTAACAGGTGCGTATTAACAGTTGCATGGATCAATCGCTAAAATTCCTCCCGAAGCACGAAAGAGCTTTTTTGTCGAAGATTTCTTTTTGTTACCCAATGACCAGATTTTACGAAAGTTATTTAATCTCCGCACTGAAAACCTCATGCGCTTACTACTCTGCCGTCGAACTCCTTACCTGCTTACTCTTATCATGTTGGATTTGTTTTATTTTTATGAATTTTCATGGTTCAAGGTTTAATATTAAAATATACCAAATATTAAAACAACACAGTAAAAATAACGATAATTCTTATAAACTACTCATGGTGACAAAATATTTTTTCCACACAAATTACTACCGGCTATAAGACTGACTTACTGAAGGACAATTATGGGTTGCCAGATTTCAAGGTTTTGAATTCGGTGATATTTAAAATATTTATAAATCATATATATTTTATTCGGTGTATTCGGTGTACGTTGATTTTGTTTGATGTTATGTTATCAAAGATCATATTCTGCTAGTTCTTCTTATCAACCAAAAGACGTCCTGAACGTAGGTTAAAATGTTAGGCGATTTACGACCGGTTTCTGAATCGAGTTTCTGAAACTAAAATCAGAAACGAAATCTTTTTAAGTAACGTTTAATTAAAATTTGCACGTTTGCATTTTTGATTCTTAATTCAGAAACCGGATATTATTCTTTCAGATATTTTCATACGAAACCCAATTGTTGATCCGATTTGGACATCTTTATGGGTTCATCTCAGGATCATTAGCTTTTGAATCAAAATAATTTTATTATTTGCGAAGAAGTCATAACAAACAATGTATATTCAAAAAACTACAGAACCTCCATATTTTTAACCAACACCAAAAGTAAAATGGAAGAGGTTATATGTTTGTTTTTTATATATGGTCATCGATATGTCCGCCAATTGTTGGCTGATTTTCAAAACTCGACAGTTAATGGACTGTGGATCACCAAAATATATAGATGACATGTTTATTCAGCTAAAAACAAAATATTGCGTATTTTGAATTCATTCAAAATCCGAAAGAAAGATTTCCTATGCTCAAGAAATAGCATTTTTTATGAAGTAGGTATGTTGATCGATTTCTTCTTGAATTGTGAATCCATTTCAATCAAACTAGCTGTTACACCACGATTTCGCCTGCGTCAATTATAGCCTACTTCTAACGTGAATTATGTAGCCTATCCAATGCCAATAAACAAGCAACAAATCTTTTCTATAAAAAATATGAAATAAGAATTATTGGAAAAAATATACCGAGCAAATAAACATAGTATCCTTTTCTAAGACTTACAAAATATTGAAAATATTTATTAATATAGATATTTAATATTTTAAGTGTTACCGCATACACAAAAAATATAAATGTCACTACATAGCATGAAATAGAAATTAAAGAAAATAAAACGGATTTGAAACTTTAAACAACTTTTTAAAAAAGTAGAACCAACTTTAAAGACTTTAAGAAAGTAATAAATAATAGGACTTATCTCAAAAGCGACTTATTCAAGAAAATGCTATTAAAGTTGGGCGTAGATTTTCAGTAGGTTATGAATTAAATGATAGGTGCCCGACTTCAATTTTCTCAAATAAGTCGCTTTCAAATGAAATCAAATCTTAATCATTTATTCAATCTAGGCTATTAAAAACACTAAATTATACTGTCTTGGCAATATCTACATCTGTGATTTGCCTAATTTTTTGTATTGCGAAGGGAGTTGAATTTAGTTTTTCTGCCAAAAATGAAATGTGAAGATGCCATTGCAATTAAGAATCCAGCATTACACCCAAGAAGATTGTTGAATCAACGAAGTGGACATTTTTAACATTAAATTTAATTAGTGTTTGTTCATCAATAACTTTATAGATTTAATTTTTTTTAGCATTAAACTGGAGACTATGTACAGTAAACCAGATCATAATCTGTGAGAGAGCATTATTTACATCGTTTAAGTTATTTTTACATCTATCAATATTAAATATTAAAGAAGTGTCATCTGCAAACAATACTATATCGCATAAATTTTCAACAAAAAATGGCAAATCATTTATGTATGTTAGAAACAGAAAGGGACCCAGAATAGAGCCCTGGGGAACCCCAATTTTTACTTGTGAACCAAATGATCTCGTACCGTTTATATCGATAATTTGAGTTCTGTATCTGACGTACGACATTAGTTGTTGATATCATAGTAATTTAGCTTCGTTTCCAGTGTTTGATGCTCAACGCAATCAAATGCTTTGAATAAATCAAGAGGATTCTGTGGCCCCTCACAAGCCTTGAATATATATTGAAGAAGTGCAACACTAGAACCAGTAGTAGAATGACCTTTTGTGAACCAGTAACCAGTAATTTATTTAAATTAAACTAGGGCAATAACTGTTCAAGAATTATTTTGTAATATTGATATAGGTCTATAATCACTATGGTCTTCCCTATCACCGAATTTAAAAAGAGATATAACTTTGCTAAGCTTCATAAGATTTGGAAAAATTCCTTCATCTATACAACGTTAAAATATATCAGCCAAGTAAGGGGCTATAACATAAATTATACTTTTAATAATATTAAGAGATATGCTCCATAAATCGCATTTGTTTTTTATTTTCAGACATTCGAAAATTTTAATGATATCTAAGAAATTAATAATATATTTCAATTTAAACTGGCTGTCTACCTAAGACACGTATTTAAAAAAAAGCCTTCGCATTAGTTGGTGGAGAATTTAAACCAAATGTTGTTTCAATTGGTATGTTTATAAAATACTCATCAAATATATTAGTAATTTTATCTAATTTAATTTAAAAAGTTTGTTCCTACTTTTATAAATACCTGTCGAAGCCTAGTCACAGAATTGTAACTTCAGTGTAACTTTTACGGTCTAACACGGAAAAACCTTTTCAAATTCATTTTTTATAAGACAGAACAGATCACTCTAAAGAATATTAGGACCATCATTTGGCCATACCACCAATTTTAAAATTATCTAGCCACATTTTAATAACTGGTCTACACCCAATATTTTAGGCTCATTAAGTGATATTAGTATCAGAATATACATTATCAAAACATGTGGCTGAATGTGTCGTTACTGTTAGGCTCAAGAAATTGATTAAATAGATTGAAGCATAAAAATAATGATAGCAAACGAACGGATGTTGTACCGTTCACTAGAAGATCTACATTAAAATTACCACGTTCAACCAAATATTTGTTTTCTGTGTGCAATTTCCTAAGTACATCTTCTATTACAAATTCAAAAGTTCCATAGTATGGCGTATGACGTAGTTTTCGGTTTTCATAAGTGCTCTGTAAAAGCCTAAACTGAATAAACAATTTTGATTTTAATTTTTGAAAATAGTCACTATCAGTAGGTCTATCAAGGGTTTTTTTCATGCTTTTTATGGCTATGGATATTTTTTATATAATAGGTCACACTAAAAATATTTAACATAGTTGAAGTGTTAGAAAAGAGATTTTGTTTATTTGCTCGACATATTTCTTTTTAATAATCTATATTCATATTTTAAAGAGGAAAGATTTGATTTCTTATTTGGCTCCAAAACTATAAGACCGATTTATAAAAGATTTTCATCTATAGGAAGCTCCATAATATGCTGCGGATACAGGCTATAATTAACTCAGGCGAAGTCGCGGGAAAACAGTTAATTTAATAGAAATTGGTTCACAATCAAGAAGAACATAACTACCCCATATATATAAATATATATAAAATATTTAACTCAAAAGCGGCTTACAGAACCTACAGAAAACTTCTGCTGGGCATAAATAGCATTTCTTGAATACATAAGTAGCTTTTGAGATAAGTATAATATATCACTTTTTACAGTTTAAAATCCGTTCCGCTAATTGTAAAAAACATTTCCGCTAATTGTAGACCAATTTTCAATATTTTTTTTATAAATAAAAATATATTGTTAATATAAAAGATAAGAACATGGGCCTTGTGGATACCACAGTATTTTTAGGAATAACATTAGATTCTAAACTACAGTGGGGCCCACATATTGATAGATTGTCGAGTAGACTTAGCCCTGCAGCATATGCCGTAATGAAAATACGTAGGTTCTCTGACATAGATACTGCCAGATTAGTATACTTCGGTTACTTTCATAGTATAATGTCGTACGGAATCCTATTGTGGGGAAATGCTGCCGACATACAAACAATTTTTGTGCTTCAGAAAAGAGCAATTCGATCAATTTATAATCTTAGGATTAGGGACTCTTTAAGGGAGAAATTTAAGGAAATAGACATTATGACTGTTGCTTCTCAATACATATACGAGAACTTAATGTACGTTCGTAAAAATATTAGTTTGTTTTCTATAAAAAGTGATGTACACAATTTTAATACAAGAAATAAAAATAAATTAACGGTGCCTGTCACTAGACTGCAAAAAGTTAATAACTCTTTCAAGGGTCTTTGTGTGTGCTTCTACAATAAGATCCCAAGCAAAATACAACAATTAGATATCATGCAGTTTAAATCTACTATTAAAAAAATACTTATTAAAAAAGCTTATTATAAGGTATCCGATTATATAACAGATAAGAACGCTTGGACTTGAGATGATCCAGCAACTGGATAGGTGATTACTTCTAAACTCATTATCTTGTTTCCATTATTATTAAATGATCATGTTATTATTATAAGACCATAGTTTTTTTTTTATCTCTGTTTATAATGTATTGGTCTGGTAATGACATGGCTTTTGTAAATGTCATTACTCATATTAGAGCTGGTGAGTTTCTTGCTCGTTCTTCTTATCAGCCAAAAGATGTCCTGAACGAGTGGTAGGGAAAAAAATGTTGGACGATTCAAAAGTACTTTTAAGAAGTCTATTTGAATAAAGATTATTTTGACTTTGACTTTGACTTGATATGTATTGCAACTATCTATTACGTAACGCGTAAATGGCAGAATTTAATTTAATACAAATAAAACAAACAAAATTATAAAATAATATTTTGATGGACGGCATCGGGCTTGAATCTACAAAACAAACAGTTCCAGTAATGCGATACCTAAAATTTACAACCTATTCTACCAACCAATAGAATTTATATCTTTTTATTTTAAATATAATATACTATTATTCATAATGTTCTTTCTTATGATTTTCAATTGAGCCATATTTAACCATGTGTACAATTTGCTATATGGAGCTGTCATCTTTAGCCGGAGTATTCGTCAAAACGGACATTTCACGTACCTTTGCTATATTTTCAAACATCTTGGCAAAAGTATTGAGTTTACATCATAAGTTTACATAAATTTTATGACATGTTTGTGCAAACGCAATACATATTGATTCGTAAGCAGCAGTCACCTTGACCTGTCTAAGCTTTAGGTATCCGCTTAGGCAGGTTTTCTATATCTGGCGCTTTGAAAAATATTTAATACAAAAAAAATACATTTCATTGAATATTATTATTTTTATTATCAAAGACAGGGAGATAGTTGCAACAACTGATGTGGCCTTTATTCCGATATCTTTTGTTTGAGATATTTCATTCTTCCTGTTTCATGAATTTGTCAAGTCTATTTTTAAATTGGTTTGTGCTGAAACTACATCTGTCGGTAATCTGTTTCAATCTTCTACCACTCTGTTACTAAAAAGTGCTTATGTGGATTTATAGACGACGCCCTCTTTATTAACTTTAGATGAATTCTTATGTAAGGGATTAGTTGTAATATTTTATGAGTGAAAAAGTGGTAGTAGTTAGTATATTTGTCATCAATGAATTAACTTGTATAATCATATGAAATTAGGGAGTTAAAATAATCTCCATCTATCAATCTGTTCTCGACTCCTTGTTTAATCTTTATTGAAGTCAATTTTTGGTTTTTGAAATAAAAACTGCTTTATTTTGCAAATAAACAATGCAATTCTCATAATCTTATTATAGAACCCCTTTATAAATACACAAGATTTACAAAATATGTCAATTTGTTGAATTGATAATCTTCTCCTTTTTTAAAGCCTGTTAATGTTGTGTTTTTCTTACGGTATCCTTGTCTGTTCCAGTAACAAGGGTCACATGGATGAAGACCACAAAGGCTACGACGGTAAACACGGCCATGACGAACACCACGAGCACCACTCCCACCACGGCAAGAAGGGCGGCAAGGCGTCCGGCTCCCACTGGGGACACGCCCAGAAACACTAACCTTTACCACCGCTACACAAGTCTGGATTTGCCCAAGCGCTTACATTATGAACTAATGGTTCTAGTATTTGTTTTGCATGTAACGTCGAGTCCGTCAAAGTTATGAGAAGATTTATTAATATGATGTTATTTTTTAAAGTCAGTACAACTTGGTTAAGACAACAAAAGAAACAGCAAAATTATTTAAATGTTAATTGAGAGACAGTTGCAAAAACGGTTATTAAAATTCATAAGTTTAAAACGACATTACCCATACAAATTTGGCATTAGAGCTTAAAGGCGTCATTAAACCTTAATGGACGTTCGTGCAACTGACCAGGAGAAACACAAATAGCCTTTGTTATGTTTTCATTAGATCTTATGGCTTCTTCACTTATTTTAGCTATTAGTTCACACTCTAATTACTTTTTACCGATGCATAAAATAGTAATTATTATTCTGCCTTATCTTAATTTGATATCGAAGAAATCCATACTGTCGGATTTTACTTTGTAGTGTTATGTGCACCAGTTAGAATGTTTAAGTTTGTATGCGTTAATTTCGAAATGAATTTCAGATATTTCCATTGGTTCTAAACTTTTACGAAAAAAAAAATCATTGTGTCTAATACTAGAAATTGTTTCGAAAATGAGTTTACGTAACTAAGCAATTATAAAAAGCATAACTTTATTTTCAGTTACAATAGAAGTCATTTCGTCTGCCAATCTCTCAATTAAATTAAATCATCTCAACTGATTTATGTAACATTTATCTTTAGAAATGTTATAGTTTTTTTATATATGGTTTTAATCCTCCTTATGTTATCTGGTTTTAATCCTCGGGTTTTATGCATTTGTTTTCGAGTCCAAGTGTTTTGTTTTTAGAAGAACTTGAAAACAATCAAGATAGCATAAAAAGAGAACTCTCATTCTTCTTTTTCCATATTACTAATTTCTATTCGTAGAACAGTCGCGTGTTCTAAATTATTTTAGACGCGAATTAGGTCTACAAACAAAAATTTGGAATCTGTACATAATAAAAAACCAACATCTTTCGTAATAATGCGACGTGATTCGAGACTGTGACCAATTGTTCGGCCGACGAACGTTGAGCAAAACTTTGGTTCTTTTCTATGTCACTTTTTACGCGTCACACTAATTTAATTTCTATTTATTTCTTATGCGATTATAAACTATTTTAAATATAGTTCACGATCATATTTTTCGATGTTTTTTAACCTTTGTTATATATATCTATTAGAATTCGATATAATTTTTTATGACTTAACAATTGAACAAATTGTCGTTTTGAATTTATTTTAATTTCGGTCATTTAATTAAACAAAATTTATTTTAATATCATTCTGATATTCAGAAATATTGTTATTGTAAATAATGCTTTTACTTCATCCTATTTAGCATTAAGTTGTTTACTTTTGTACTTTTATATTGTTACAAACAATGCTAAAAAAATATTTAGCAATTTAATAATATATTTTTCCATAAAATCCCAGATCAGTTTACATAATAGAAGATATTTTGGCAATTTCTCAAAAATTAAAAGACCTTACTCTGTGAAACCTGTGAAAATATAAGCCATTAAAATGTAACATATCATATCCCTTGTTATCTTCGTATTAAAAGCCACTAATCCCCAGTTCCAGATGAATGTAAATTAACCAACAATTGTCGATTTTATGAAACTATTTATTTGTCTAGTTATGTTTGTTATTAGTAGGTAATAAATGTTGTTAACAGATTAAAACAATAGAAAAGTTTATTGATTTTTATTTTTTAATACCTTGTATATGGAAAAATTTCATTAATACATAAAATAAATATGAGAAATGAAACAAAAAAATACTTTCAACTTGATCATATTTTATAAAGGTTCATTTATATAATCAACAAGCAAAATTAAACACACTCTTTCATTTATAATTTTAGGAAATTATGCCATATTTCTCTTATTTTTAGCTTTTGAAATCTTTAATTGAACCTATTATGATAAAGTAGACAGACAGATAGATATGTATATCGGTTATTACCGAATGTTCTATTATTTTAAAATGGTGGCTTGCAAGGTTCGGGTGGAGGAAGAGAAGGCTCGTTTATTTTTATATATACTGCCACTGTATGGTGCGGTCGTCGTGGGAAAAACACTCTTTGACCCTTGTCATCCACAAATTCCGTGTAATCCATAGACCAGACGCGCTTCATTCCGCATTTCTCGCAGATTTTGGCACTGAAAATTAAAATAATATGATGTATTTCACCATTATATAAACATTTGAAAGATAATGCTTTGTTAAGACCTATTGCAAATAATAGAATCTGACCTCGAATACAGATTTCTCCTCTCTAAGAACAAAACGATAGTAGAATTGTTGAAATAAATAGAAAACATTGTGTTTTTGCAATTTGGATAATAAATGCTTCAAGTTATCTACAAAAAGGAGCAAACTAGAACGCAGACTGGACACTTATGCAAGATTTTAACATATTTGCTGACGACCTTATCAAAGTTGAACGAGATTTAGGTTTTAGGATACCAGCTACTATTATAAAAGAGGTTGAGTTGATGACAATTTACTTAGCGCATTAGAATATTTTAAAAATATATTGAGATAAATCTTTTGTTCAAATCACTGATTTGTTATAGCAATCATCTTTCTGGTTTTGAAGACATGTCTAGATGGTGCTCCTAGTTTCATGCGCATTAAGCGTACGTGTGTCGATGATTTGATATCGAGTGTGGCTGGTCGTCTTATTACGTCAGTAAAAGGGGACACAGGCTTCTAAACGATAAAAATGAAACAGTTACGTGTATTGACTGATGGCAATGACTTGAACCAGAGGGTGTCTCAGCTCTTGTGCCTGACTGAGCACTTCCTTCAAGAGGTGAGTCCCGACACCCTGACCTGTCACCTCTGCTGCAGTTGCCAGAACTTCAACCTATGGTTTATATTTTAGTGAAAATCCATATTCATTTCAAATTACAGAATTATGCGCTTCATATTTTCTGAACTAAAACAATTTCATTATCTAGTGATCCATAGAATCGTTTAAATATCTAACTGAACTTTGCATAGACCTCCTTTTTGTAAGACTGTATTTAAGAATAAATCTTAATAAAAAATGTTTATTTATTTTGCCTTTACTACCAAAATTTTATATTTAAACTTTTTCGTGAATTATTTTACTTTTATTTGACTTTTGGAAAATACTTACATCATAAATATACTTGACGTGATATTTCTGGAACAACTTGGGGCTCCTGTAGCAATGAGCGATGAAATACATCCTATTTCTCTCGGGACGCGAGTACGTGTAATGAGCCCAGTCTTCCAACTCATCGGGAACCCAGGGAAAAATCTTAACAAAATGCAAACAAACAATACGGATGTAGACAGTAAAAGATTTTTTTCTGGTAATGTTTAATATACTATTACCAATCATCACACTTTTATATTTACAATATTGCATAAATTCATTATTAAAAATCAAATATATTATACTCGTTGTCACCTGAAGGCAAACACCGCGTGACGTTACGCCCTTCTTACTCATATCAGCCCTGCGATTCTGTAAAACTTCAAACCCGAATTCGAATCCACTCAGATGTCCGAATTCACTTCAAAAAGCGGCATCCGCTCAAACTTGAATTGGTAATAATGTTTCGTGATATAAGTGAAGTGAGTTTCGAAATGATGTAGGATTAAAATATCTAAGACACGTTTAATCAATCAATTTTGTTTAGTATTTTTATACAAAAAATGGAATCAATGAGATTTCTTTACTAAATGACGAGAATTCAGACACACGAGTGAATTTGAATTCGGGATTTTTGCGGAATCGCAGGGCAGAACTCCGTTAGCATTCATAGAACGATATTAGCTTAATTAGGGCGTGACGTCATAACGACGCCATGACAAAAGTAGGCGTTTACGCGGTAAATTTTAATAACTAAATTTATTTTCGATTTTACTTATTAAAATTTCGCTAATAAAAAATTAGGGAAGGACAGCTACTAAATTTTTTTAAATTAAAATAACTAAATTTTTGTAAGAACAATAATATGCTTAAGAACATTTATCTGCCCTTAAATGGCAATACTATATATCTTAAATCGGTTATTTTCCTCCGGATGGGTACAATAGAATGATTTTAAGTAACAATGTGACTAAATATAAATTTTCTTCCCTATCTCAAATATTTGGAAGATAAAAAGAGAAAAAACCTGTTCTAATTTACAATACCTAACGAATACATGAGTACCAAATAAAAAAGGTGTATTCTGATGTACCTTGTTAGCGACGCTCACACCAATTAATTTTCGTTCTCGAGTTCGCTTCAAATGCTCAAAAGCTAAAAGTCTGTCACCTAGAATCATGAGAACATTTATCACATTGATGAAAATAGTAAATTGATATGCCATTCAATATCGTAGGAATTGCATTCATAAGTAAAGTAACATAAATAACCTGAATTAGAGTATTTCTCCGTAAGAATATCCAAGTAGGGTGAGTCAAGAGACATCCAGAGACCAGACACGCTCGGCTCACGGGGCCAGTAGTGAGAGTAGAGGAACGACCTGATCATTCTCGAGTGGCACTGGTTGCCAAGCTCTAAGGATACAGTTCCGATGTCGAAACACTAAACAAGTAGATAAAATGTATTTATTTCCCTCCTCTCTACACATATAATATAATTTAACCTGGGTCGTCTGAGATAAGTGATTGAAGTACTTACTTATAAATAATATATATTTCTATTTCAACAAACTGATAAATTTATTCATTTTCATAAACATTATTTTATCGAAAATTAATTGAACTAAAAAATAATTACAAATAAGCATTCCTAATTTGTTTTGGTTTTGAAAATTACACACAACACTTTTTTAGTTCTATCTTATTATAAAAAGGAAAAGGATTTAAAACGAACAGCACATTCTTAACTTACTGGTCGTCTTTCTGAGGGTCGAACGTCGCAGGGCGATGGCTTCCTGTAGTTTCGGGTATGCACTTTTATAGGACGCTGCCATAACCCGTCTCTTAAAGCGCCTGATACAAATAATTTCAGATGATTCATTCTTAATGTCACGTCGTATTCATATTTTCTGCGGATACCAACACGCTCTTTGCTAACACGCACTAAAATTTATGTTCTGCTGGCACACAGATATTTTTTTTCATTTTAGCAGTTCAAAAACCGTAGCTCGGCCATAATTTTTGATATGACAGAATGACACTTTTCTCTGTACTATAATGGCATAAATGAAGAGCTCGTTACTTTGATTATAGGTAATTATTCTAAAGGTTTTATTTGAAATCTATGGATTTTCACAGCCCAGCTCAGCCAGTGTTCAAGTTGACTCAAGTGTGGGGTTCGCAGGCGCTGAGTTAATGGTGAACATACGTTAAGGTGCGCTTTCATACCTAGCCACTCGATCACCTATGTAATTATTCTTTTAACGGTTGAACTACTGGTGGAGTTTGAGAGCCCAAGAGACTCGTGTTGCATTAGTCACCGATCAACGACGGAGCGATTTTAATTAAGCGAGACCACTTGTAATCAGATAATAAAGAAAGCTCATCTAAAAATTCTATTTCAATGTTGCATATACCTTACCTGCTTAATTTCGCTATGTATCAAAATTTATTCGTTAACCCATGCATACACTAGCATTTTTATAGTTACCAAGGAGAGTCTAAAAATACTCCCTACGACGATATATTATACTTAATGCAACAAAGTTAAATTACTAGTGGCACATATAAACTTTTTCAATGACCTGGGTATATATGGGGTATTTAAAAAAGCAAAAACTTAATTATGTCAAATGAGATCAATCAAAGCAGGCGTCAATAAGTCACCATGTCACCTTATTACGGTAACGTAAAAAAAACTTCATAAAACCGTTAAAAATGTTACACCGGAGATGTAAACAATAATACAACAATATACTAAAGTACTACACCATCCTCGAGTGCCCAATTATGTCCACAGTGTTCAATTTGTTGAAGTTGTTTTCTATGAAGAGTGTGTTCAGGAGCAGAACATCGGGGTGTCTAACCAGACCCGTCAGACGATACTACGCTGACACATCCAAGTCAGACTCCAAATCTAAACAAGTCGTGGTAATAATATATAACGATAATCTTCTGAAGATGATAGTGATATTGTAGGCTTTCTAATATTACATTAATCCATCGACATATTTATGCTGCACGCATTCGTATGCCGTGTTCGGTTTCCTGAATAGGAATTCTGGTTTGGAGACCCGATCGCGCGCCATTTAAACGTACATCAGGTTTTTTCTGAATTAAAAACCGCCCCTACCGTCCGTCCGTCCGTCCGTCCGTCCGTCCGCCCGTACCAATATCTACAAAAAACGCAAAAAAATACCGTGTCTTTTTAGGGTCCCTTAGAATAAACGTATTTTTTTTGCGTAAATTTATATTACATGTTTTGTATTTATTGGTATTTAATGTTATAGCGGCAATAGAAATACATCATCTATGAAAATTTTAACGGTTTAGCTATCGCCGTTTTTAATCTTCGGGTACGGTACCCTAAAAAAGCAATTCAATGATGTGTACACAGTGTAGCTATAAATCAATACCAGTGAAAATTAAATAAGCTGTATTCCGGAATGATAATCCAGCTTCAATATTAAAAATCGAAAGTCAATAACAAAATTGGTATTTACGAAAAGAAAAATAAATAAAGAAGTCAATGTCTTTTGTTGATGTAACGGAACACAGGCTCAGGGCACCGAGAATGAGCAGCGGGTGCGCGTGCGCAGAGCTCGTGCTAGCGACGTGCCACGCGTGCTGCGCTTCGTACGTGAAAATGTCCGCGTCGCTTTTCCCGTACTCGGCTCACCACCTCCCCCTCACAATATGATACTGAACGACTATGTCACTAGAGCGCTTGCTCAAGGTAATGTTAATTAATTTTAGGCCCTTTTTAACCGACTTCAAAAAAGGAGGTTCTCAGTTTGACCCGAATGTATTTATGTATGTATGATTATGCGAGATTATCTCACGTTTAGTTGAACCGATTTTCATGCGGTTTTCAGCATAGCATATGTCAGACTTAGAAAAAGTTTTTATGTATATCAAACGATAAAATAAATGGAGGTTTGCAAGTATTTTAATATTACCTATTATTAGAAGTAGTCTCTTTATTATTATAATTCTTGATGGATTTCAAAAAGCTTATTTTACTTAATCAGAAATTATGTCGCTGATTCTGTCTTTGATACATCAACACAACAGGATAATGAGGTCCACAAAATTAAAACGTCTTGTCCAGAGTTCAGACATCACAATGAATAGCTAATTGGATAAAATCCAAATAATTTTATAGATTTACAGATATTCGAAATGATAGCATCGCTTATGATGACAATGTCATTTTATTACCCCTCACTCTAAGCACACAGGCACTCGTTATGACAGGAACTGAGTTCGAACTAGGTCATTCGAATTTAGCAGAATACTCAAAAACAAAATCAGCTTCTCATCCACTCAACTTGACCGTTTGACTTCAGGTCACTCAATGCTAGCCGAGCAACAAGAGAGCCGTCGGGGCTGGCCTCAGATCCGTGGCCTCGCTCTCAGCACAGCTATATGCCCATGGGACGCGGCCTTGCTCGAGCGGTGGGCCCGCTGTGTCCGGTGCCAGCGCTCCCGGCGTCTCGTGAACTTCACAGCTCATTGTATTCGAGCACCAGCACTGCATGACAAATATAGAGTCCACAATATCTTACAGGTAAGTTAATTTACATTAACCTCATAAAAAAATATTAATGTTATTTTGTCTTCCAAAGAAATAGAAAATGTCTTAAATTTAATGAATTTATAACGTCTCCTTCAGGTAATACTGATTGTACCTCAGGATAAAGGAAACAGCTCAGAAATAATTCAAGTACTAGCTAAAAACACTATACAGAGAGGAAAAGATGTCGGATTCCCATTAATACGATTCGATGTCACCAACGATTTCATGTAAGTGTACATAGTTTATTTATTTAAGAGGATACGTACACCGAAAATTACTATCTACCATTTGGCTCTGTATCTTACAAAGAAATAAAGGTCCAACTGTACTCACAGTTACTTAATGTTTTTGTCATGGTCATTTTTGTCCTTTATAGACAAAAATTACCATTAAGATTTCTTTCCGCAATTGATACTGACACCCTTATCTATGTTTGAATCTGACGTGGGTGTTGTGGAACCTTCGCCGTTTCGAATACTCCATAATTGTTCTAACTAACTTAACTTCGAATCTCAGCAATTTCTTTTTATCAATATTTTTGGGATAATTTCAAAACTATAAATCATTCTTCAATTGATATTTATTGTTCAGATGTAAGTGCTTGGAAGGATTACAGTTGAAAAAAGAATGGCAGCTCTCGTACCAAATTATATCAGATGCAATGAATAATAAAAGTAATCGTGATACCTCTGACAAAAACCATATAGACAAACCTGAACATGAAGACAGAAGCACACCAGTCAATAGAAACTTCATTGCAGTATACACAGCTCTTTCCGGTCATTCAAAATCAGCAGAAACAAAAGCATTACCTTGAATATTTAATAATATCCGAGGACTTAGTGACGCCTGCTAATAAAAAATCAAACAAAAATCATCTTTAAATTAACATAATTTTTTTATCCTAGAGTGATTGCCTCAACTTATCAAGATCTGATGATACCTGCAATAAGTTTGTTTGCATTATTAATTAAAGGTTATTCGACTTTCTTAACACCTCAAAGCCAAATGTTAAAATTTTCTTTGTTCAAATTGGCAGTAATGACAGAACTCCTACGACAAATTATTTTACTCTGGTTTCTAGTAAAGACAAAAAAAAAATTAATATGTATTAATATTATCTTGTTGGATTACAGTATCTCACATTTTGTCAAACCTTGTACTTTATATTTATCTTGTACTCGTTTAATGTTTTTATCGATTTCATGCTGTGTTAGACACAATTTATTTTCATCATCTCATATTCGAATTTCGTACTAAGTCGTGCCCTCTAAATGAGTAGATTTCTATTGCTGCATTACATCTCATTGGTCAGTTTCGACATTAGCCCTGTGTTTCGAAATAGTATTGTTTTTGTGGATATCGTTGTGATGGAGTCAATCTGTAGTATTGCTAGTGGACGCGTTTTTTGTGAGAGGTCGGTAAAGAAGAAGCAGACATTTATTTATTTATAAACATTATCTTCAAAACAATTAAATAACGACTTAAATGTATATATCTAATGATTTTATGAAACGTGAAATTATTTTGATTTTGGTCATATATAATAATATAATATCATATATAGTGAAAGTAGGGTTTTAATACTAACAAATTATTTATTTTTAAGTAATTAAATGTCCATCTATTTGTTGTTGATTATCTTTATTCAGTTTATTTACTTTAGTATAAGTATTTAGTTTAGGAATTGACATTATATTTTATTTACCGATTGGTTGGTTAATTTATCTAAAATGTTTAACAAAATGAACCGTTTATTATTATACGCAAAAGGATTTGAAGGGTCAATGAAATTGAGAGACATTGAGAAACAGTAAAATCGTTGCAATAGCGCGTTATATAAAATACAAGCAATGAATTACTCTGTAGAGTAGACACAGAACGCTTTCGAGCAGACGGCTTTTTGTTGAACACAAGGTAAATAGGAAAGTTGGGCCACCTATTACGGAACTGGACAGATTTTCGTAAATAATTTGGAAGATCCAACTGACGTGTTTGTTGTTGTGTGAGTGTTGCAAATTATTTTACGGTCGATTAACAAAATGATTAACTAACAATTAATCAGGTGTTAAGTATTCTATGTGGTTACTGTTAAAGTAGTGCAATATTATGTGTTAAATTTTGTGAGCATTGTTTAGACTGATATTGGTTGTGACTATTGTGGTATTTTACAGAAATTACTAGGTTTTACACCATGGGACTGCGATTAGTGCCTCTGGCACTGAGTGTGCTGCATATCACAGCTGCTTTACCCGCCATCACCTTGCAGGATTTAGAAGTAGCTGATGACACCATGTCTGTTGGTTCGTATATACGAGAAGTCAGGGCAGCTGCGGTGAGTAAATCTCTTAAAGTTTTCTGTTCATTGTTTTTGTTAGAAAGTTATAAATATTATTAGCTAAATGTTTAAAAAAATGTTAAGATTTTATATGATCAAATTACATTTCGAAGGACTTCAAACATATTTAGTTAGTATTAATATTTCTTCTAAAAGTTTCTTAAATAAATTAGTAACATTTTCACTTTTGTTTGTTTACATAGCCTCAGGATTACCACAAATCTTATGAACATGAGGGTGACGGTGAAGTCGGATACTCGCGAAAAAAGTCAGGCGGAGGCAAAAAAGGCTATCAGCACTTCGATACCTTCCATAAGAAGGCCGGCGATAACTACGAGTTCGAGAAGTCAGACTCTTACGGTCTAGAGAAGGAGGGCCAAGACGCCGCTCACAGTCACCGCCACGAACAGAGAGGTGAACAAAAATCTCAAAAATTCATTAAGCCGCTTAAAGTTTTTAAGAGACCATTCAAGTTTGTCAGGAGATTATTCAAGTGGATATTTTAAGAGTGTCTACTTAATAAATTTTATATTATCGACGTTTGTAAATTTTATTTCACGAGTTCCCGACGTTATGTCCATGTAATTTTATATGTTTTTCTAAGTTTTGATTGTTTATGAACTTACATTGGATATTCTTACAGAAAAACTGAAGAAAAAACCTGAAGATGCAGAAAAAATAGAAGGCGATCATGATGAAGGGCTTGGAGAAATTGAACACGAAGAATTGAAGTAAGTACTAATGGTATAATTATGCAAATATTCGACATTACGATGCATATATTTTTGAAAAAAAATTCATTGAAATGTTGATGACATTAAACCAAAAATATTTTAAACTAAAACTCATTACCAACTTGTCTTGCCAAGGCTTCAAATATCTAGCCATTTCGTAATCCAACCGGCTATTTGACTCAATTACCGAGACAGTGCAGTTTTTTTTGCCGATTTTTTTCATTTCCTTATCAAGATTTTTATTTGTGCATGTTATATTAATTACTTTATTTTCAACAGAGAAGGAGCGCCGGATGGAAATGGAGGAGTTGAAGCGTACGGACACAACCCAAAAGACTACATTTTGCCCGAAAAGTACACATACGGTGAAGGAGATGAATACAGTTTTTAAGAGTACGCAAAGCCTAGTGCATAATCAGACTGATAGACTGTAGTTGTTGGATAGGATTTTAATAATGTGTATATGTAATCATGGAGAAATTGGCAAGAGCTGCAGTAAACATCGTTTCGAGCGCCATATGTGTTAAACTGATGAAGAAGCTAAAATAAACTGATTTGAAAGATTTATTTATTTTATTTTACCTACTTTAAATACTAACAATGTTAAGATATTTTTGAGAAAAATAATATCAATAAAATCAGTAATACCTACCTAAATAAAACATCAACAATTATATCAGTGAAATACAACATTTGTACGTATTGGAGTAGAGAAGTGTAGGAACCTTAATACTGTATGTTGAAGGTGTGGTTCCTACTAGATAATGGAGACAACTAGCAAGGGAGACTAAGGGCCAGTTTTTTGATCCGTGGTTAACTCAACTATTTGTTAAAATCTTCGACAAATGGTTAAATATCAGAAAAATATATGTTTTTGATTAATAGTTAGCTTTTTTTGACCAATGGTTGGAATTCTGACAATTGGTTAGGCTAACTATTAATCAAAAAGCATATTTTTCTGATATTTAACCATTTGTCGAAGATTTTAACAAATAGTTGAGTTAACCACGGATAAAAAAACTGGCCCCTAAAGGATAATTGTCTCCCTCCGAGCTAGGTGTTAGCCCGGGGACCGCGGTCCAACCGTAAATTGGTGTAGGTTGGACGTTCTATTTATGCTAATCTATCTATATATATAAAAATGAATCGCAAAATGTGTTGGTAAGCGCATAACTCAACAACGCCTCGACCAATTTGGCCAAATCTTTTTTTAAAATGTTCGTTGAAGTTCAAGGATGGTTTTTACGGCGAGAAAAATTAGAATTATTGCTGGAAAAACCCTAAAAATAGCCCTTTTCTTTTTCCATACAAATGATTTGTAACTAAAACGTAGTCAATTTGAGCTTTATTGCTATGGTATAAAGTTCATATTAAATTACAAGCACTCACTGTTGTCTAAGCAATGTAGGTGTGTTCCTAACGTCAAAGATCATATCTATCAAAACAATGTGCGTGTGTGCGTTGGAGCACAGAATACATAGTTGGAGGAGTTTAATGTCGCGTTCCGAAACTCGCGTTTCTTTTGTATTAGTTTCAGCACGCGAGATAAAATGCATCAGTTTCCACGTCATTACATGTATTGCCGGAACATTGATGAAAATACGCTCTGTAGTAGCAAAGCTGTTGGGTCCTAGATAGCTCATTGGTTAGAGCAGTCCCTGGATCGCGAATGGGTTCGAGTCCCATTCCGGGGTACAGGTAGATGGATTCTTCCAGCATTTTTCCTTGAGAATGTTTATATATTTTTTTAATTCGAATAGTTTACTTTTATAATGCTGTTGTGTGTAATGTGTTTTTATGATCATAAAAATCTCTTTTTTCTATATTTAATACTATTACTATTAATACATTGCAATAATAATTATGATTCACATGATTAACAATAAAGCGATTACTTGCTTTTAAATCCTTATATATGTTTTATTTAATTATTTTTTATTCACAACGCCCTATCACCAGGATGACGGTTCTGTTCAGGAGAATTTTTTTAAATACGTAGGCAAAAAAACTGCCACATTACAAATCTTTTTGACAGGACGAAGTCTGTCGGGTCAGCTAGTTGGTAATGAAACTAATTGACGGCGATGTAGGTTTCTTTGTTCTTAATGCCTTGGAGTATCTAAATTTATAATGATTGAATAGGTAAAGCGCCATCTCATTACTGGGTGTTGAAACTTCTTGCAGTTCGTCTTGCTATTGATTGCTGTGACGATGCTAGTCAATTGTTGTGGCGATATTAGTGCGATGAATTAGATGTCGCTACGTATCAGGCACCACAGAAGCAATGTTTAAATGGTAGAGTACTTTTAACGGAGCTTCAGCCAATTTGCTGATTTACCCTTCTCAAATAAAAAAAAGATATTTGAGCATTAATATAAACTTAAAACAGGAACATCTCGCAAGGCAGGATCTACAGCATTAACATTCACACTCATTGTACGAGTTTTGATAACTAGTTACATATTGTATATATGTCGCAGCCGACTGGTAAGATCAGCCGTTCAAGGGCAATAGGGCGCCTAGCTTTATAATTGGATGGCGCTATTCAATTGAACGCCTAGTTTTCTAGTTGAATAATTATGACATTTGGACTAATTAACAAGACGGCTGATTTAAACAGACGCCTAAACGTTTATTTAGTTTTGTTATCTGACCGATCGCGTGACCTACAGAGCTTACAGAAATGAATTCATTGTCTCTAATTTTTTGTCGCACATTTAACTATTGTAGCACCAGACTTCGAAATTGTACTACTACTAATTAACACCTGGTTCGACATCTGCCGTCGACATGCAAGTTTACTTTCACAGGCACAATTTACCGCCCACCTTCAATTTCTTTCAATTCGCAGAAATCGCCAAACTTAAACCATATTTAATGAAAACATTAAAAAAAGAAACAACTAAAATATTGGAAAAAAAAGCCTTTTACTAAAGGATGCTTACCAAAAATTGATTTTTTGAAAATCTTAAATGAAAATTTTAAAATTAAGGTTTTTAAAATAATAGGGCAATTAAAAGAAAAAATAAAAATGAATAGTCTTTCTCTCCATCTTTCTTTCATTTTATTAAACTTTCTATTTTCAGTGTGACTAAGTTGCACTACCTTTGATGTACCAAATGTTTATTACGATGTTTATTAAACGCCAAAAGCGATTGCGACTTTAAATTCAGTCAGACCACAGCACAGAGCCTAGGCTCTGTGCTGTGCTTAGGCTAGCCTAAGAGCCGAAGTAATTAACTGGAACGGTTGCTTTCGAATCCTATATTAAGATGACATTAAACGGCATATTACTTATACAATCTAACAATATAAACTGATACCGTAATGCATTAAATGAACAGCGCCATCTAGTTTGCAGACTTAGAATTATTCGGGTGTGTTACAAGTAAGTATCTTTGTTACAACAATATTTAAAAAATATTGTCGAAAACTTGAAACTTCATATTTAACATAACAATATTGCAGTGACTTTGTTACAAACTTACCTCGTATATTTGACGCAGCAATTTAGAATAAAAGAAAAATCAAAATTGCCCAAAGTTAGCATGCTATCTGGGTTACAAATAAGTTTCTTTGTCATAACAATATTCAGGCAATATTTTCGCAAACTTGAAACTTCATATTTAACATAACAATATTGCAGCGACATTGTCACAAACTTGCCTCGTATATTTGACACAGCAATTTAAAACCAAAGAAAAATTAAACTTGCCCAAATTAGCATGCTATCTGGGTCCTCATTGACATTAAGATCCTACAATTTGTGCTGCCATCCAGTGACATTAATTATTGTAGTTTCTTTGTTTTTTTAAAACTCCCTCATTATTTATTTATTTATTTAATTGCAACATACTACTATCATTACAGGTTTCCCTAATGCGATAGCGTAGACATCGACTTACACTTATTATAACATAAAACATATAATACTGCCTGTACGAATTCGTTCAATGAACAACAAAATAAATCTATAGACTTTGCAGCTTCGTTTAGACAACGTAACGTTCGTTGTATAGGTGCCTCTCTTAATATGTTTGTGCGTGCATATGGTAATGCGAACAGAGGCGGCTGTCGACGCCGCCACACATATCGGTTTGGAACGCACAACCCTACTGATTCTAACACTATATGGTTAAAAATTCGACCACGCAATATTTTAAACATTTACGTAGCTAAACTCAATTGCCTTCTAACCTCTAACTTATTATATCCAACCATGCCAAGCACAAATAACGTTGGATACATTAAGGGGTAAAATGGGTACACGCCATAAAGCTTGAAATATAGAAATCTCACGAATTTGTTCTGTATCCGTTCTAGCATAAATTTGTACTTTTCTTCATATGGACTCCAAACGCATGCATTGCATTCTAGATGACTTCTTACTAGTGCTTCATACAACATCCTTACTGCATTTAAATTTGTAAACCCATGCGATTGACGCAGTACGAATCCCAAATTACGATAAACTTTTTTGCAAATTTTTATTACATGATCTTTGAAAGTTAGGTTAGCTGTAAAATAAACTCCAAGATCTCTCACTTCAGTTACGCGTTGTATAGCTACTCCTTCTATCTGATACCGAAACTGGCAAGGTTTATGCGATAGGGTGTATGAAACTACTGAGCATTTTGAGTTGTTAAAGTATAATTTGTTTCTATGACTCCTTTGTACTACCCTATTAATATCTGCTTGTAATTTGTCGCAGTCCAAAATATCGTCTATTTTCCGCACCAATTTCAGATCGTCAGCAAAGAGAAGGCAAGTGGCATTCCTAACTACTTCAGGTAGATCGTTTACCATCAAAATAAATTCCAATGGACCCAAATTACTCCCCTGGCTGACCCCCGATCTAGTAAAGTACGGGTCTGACCACTGACCGGCCCAGTCGACGAACTGCCGTCTATCTCTCATGCGACTTGCAAAGAGTGAAAGTGTTTTTGGCGTACATCCTGCTTGTGCTAATTTCGTGAGTAATATATCGTTATCAACTACATCGAAAGCTTTCCGGAAATCAAAATACGCCACATCCACTTGAGCTCCAGAGTCTACAGCCGGCGTAAGTTGTGTCATCAATTGAAGCAGATTGCTAGAAGTACTACGACCCGGTCGAAAATCGTGTTGCGCTTCCGTTAACTGAGCATTTACCTGTGAGTATATAGAATGGTGAAGCGCTGCCTCAAATACTTTAGCCGGGGTACACAGGACTGCCACCGGCCTAAAGTCACTGATTTCCACACTTCCACGCACCTTAGGTACAGGCACCACTCTTGTCAACTTCCACCTATCTGGAAATATTCCTTTATCTAGACAAGTGTTAAAAATATGTAGAAGTGGATCCGCCAGCACTCTGTAACAATCTTTAAAAATAAATGGCGGCATACCATCAGACCCCGTGGAGTGTTTGGGTTTAAGTTTTTTCAGTGCCCGTTCCACATCAGCCAACTGCAGCTCATGACATTGTACTCGTGACACACTAGCCGGCGCTGTTGTACTCGCCGTCGATACGTCTAATACCGCTGGCCTCGGACTGTATACAGAGGAAAAATAATGTGCAAATTCCTGTGTAGCCTCCTGATCTGTCAGAATGTCACCTTGCTTGAATAGCTTTTGTTTATTTAAAGGATTTCTCTTACCCTTCACAAACTGCCAAAATAATTTCGGGTTTTTCTCTAGACTGCTTTGTACCCTATCTCTGTAACGGTTGTGCGCCAGTTCTACAGCTTCCTTTACTCGCGTTCTGCACCGTGGGAATTCAGTATAATCAACAATCGACTTAGTCTGCTTATATCGTCTATGTAATTTATACTTCAAACGTATATCACGAATCAAGTCCGTCGTATACCACGGGGGGTAACAATATCTATTATTCAAAGCTCCTGAACTGGTAGTAGGTACACACTCATTAAAAACATCATTGACAATATCGTAAAAATAATTTAAAGCCTCGTCCGGATCCACAATTTCATATAATTCATTCCAGTTCAAAGTTGATAAACTATTGTATAATAGATAAAAATCAGATTTTGAAAACTTCCACTTATTACAGTGTAACTGGGATGGCTGATCCATGTCATTATTATTGTACGGGCCGAAATCGGATATCGAAATACAAATATTAATTGGTGGATGATACCTATCTATAGGCTGCAATCCTTCTGTTACGCTAACCGATATACTCATACCATCCCCGCCTAACACTAAATCCAACTGCCTACCGTCGCAATTAGGAACATGGTTGTTTTGAACGAATTCGCAAAATGACATTAAATATTTATAATAATTACATATATCCATACTAGCAGAGTACAAATTAAAATCTCCTAAGACTAACAATTTATTTTTGTATTTTAAACATAATTTTTCGATAATATTAAACATAACCATGTATTCATTAATATCCGCTTTTGGTGGTATATATATGACACAACAAGCAAACAAGAACCTATTTGTTAAATGTATTGTTGCACAAACCATTTCAAATGCACACACTTCCAAGTTAATATTGTCCGATGTGGGTATCTGTCGCAGTTCGTACCGCGGTGTGGCCACTAAACACGCTCCTCCTTGTTTCCGACCGTCCGCTCGATCACAACGGAGTATTTGATAACCAGTCGGGACAAGCTCGGAATCGTATATTGATGCATTACATCCAGTTTCCGTAATGGCAAATAAATCCTCTTTTGAAGACTGAATAAAAGATAAGAAATTTATTGTTTTAGTTCGTAGGCCTCTGACGTTTTGATATAGTATTTCAGCCGTCCTTCTACTTTTCTTCCTTTGATTTATTTGAGTACTTCCGAAACCAAATCCACTCGCTGAATTCAGCATCTCGTGGCCATGCCGTTGGTTGATTTATTTTCCCAAAGATACGTTCCGGAACTCCGACAATGAAAAAAGAATAATCTCTTTGGGTTTTATGGATTATTTTGTCAACTTTAACAATTATTTCTGAACCGCAAACCTTTTCTACATGTTTTCGGATTTGTTCCTCTGTAGTATTCTGATGTAGTCGCCATACATGAAGATATTTTTTACGCTCAATAACCTGCAAGTTTAATGACTCATTTTCGCCCCTTAATACATTTTTAGCTTGTGACTTTCTTTTATTACCAGTGAAAATGCTATTGTTATTTTTATTAATACTGTTACACTTCTTCGCAGTTTTTTCTTCTTGAGGTTGATCACCTATTATCACGACATTTTCATCTGTTCTGCTTTCCACCACCATACTGTTACTAGCATCCTGTGCTGGTGTTAATTGCTTAGTAGCAATTTTCGTGGCCCCACACGGCTCCTTATTGGCAGAATTAATATTACGCACAGTTGATTTTATAGCAGTTGCGCGTGCGGTGGCCTGCGCATACGAGTTAGCATTTACAGAAGATGTCGTTAAAGTATTATACACTTTTAGCTGTTCGGACAAAGTATGATTATGAGCCGCTAACTCCTGTAATCTAATCTCCATGCTATCAGCCTTACTAACCTTGTTTTCGAGTGCCACAAGTTTTATTTGCATCATATTAAGTTCACTCTTAGTGTCGCACATAATATTCCATAGCTTTTGAAACTGCTGTGCTTGTTCATCGAAACGTGATTTTTATTTCTAAGCGAAGCTCATGAATTACTGCCACTAAATCACTCACAGTGTCATGATCTTCTTTATTATATATTTGTCCTCGATTTCCTCGCTGTGTGTTAACGAATCCGCTGGACACGTAAGTTTTATTTAGGCCTCTTATTGGCGTGTCGGAGTTATCTCCTTTTGGTCGCAAACAAGTACACTCCGGGCAAATCCACTCATTTTTATAATCTTGCGTATAAGACTCAAAAGCATCAGCCGTTACGGACAGACAGTTGAGGTCATATGTTTTTTTGCAATCCATCTTCGAACACTCCATGTATTGGATGTTAAATATTGCAGAACCACATGCGTTGCACTTACTAGACATTTTTGCACGATTTCAAAATCAGTAGATAGTTATTTTAACAATAAATTAACCAGATTTTTCTCTGCGAAATTTAAACACGTATATCGTACGTACACACGTAGTTGACATATATCCTAATATATTTGACTCGTTAGATTAGAGGGCGGAGGTTTACTGTAGGTTATTTATGAAATGATAGGCGCCCGACTTCCATTATTGGTGATAAATTTACCTAAAATGATAAACTTACGTTTCAACAAATTGAGAGTCAGAGTACCGATATGTCAGAATCATGACGGGACCCCTACCTTGAAGATCTTGAATTATTCAAGAAATACCTAATGAATTTGCAGTTAATAGCAATTTCTTCAACAGTTCAATGAGTAACTTTCAATAAATGTATTTCTGAAATTGTTAATTATTGGAGCCCTGTCTAATGTCCCTTATGTTTTCATTTTAGAATCTAGATAAATATAGACATCAGTTTTAGGGACCATAGAAACTGGAGTGCTATTTCTAATAATATTATAAAGATAAAAGATTGCCTGTTTCTTCGCATTGAATAGGAACCGATACTTCTGGAGTGATTTTAAAAATTATTTCACGTATAGGGAACGCTACATCATATAAGTGTGATAAAGGCTATAATTTACGCATGCGAAATCACTGGAAAACAGCTAGTTTATTTTAAAAACTAAACATAAAACTTCTCATAGCTAATCGAAACTCAAGTGGTCGAAATTAAGCATCATTATACTATTGTGTGAATATTGGCTTGCGTTAATTATTATCGGTTTCAAAAAAAAACAATTTTTAAATAATCTAATACGTTTTACAAATTGAAATAAATCCAGATGGCACTATCGATGAAAAATAACATAGATATGGTTGCTAGGTGATCAGTTGTCAAAGGTTTGCCATTGTGGTAATTGATACCTTATGCCCGTCTTTTTCTTCTTTTAGTAATGGCTTATCTGCGTATTTCCCACAATTTTTCCCATCTTATTTGAATAAATTCATTTCTACATGTGAAATGAATGAAACATGGCGATGATCTAATATGCCCTTATACAAGGGTGCAACACAAATGGAGGACATTACTTAATTTGTTAGTTATTTAAGACGTTTATAAGTAAATATTTTGTTAATGAATTACTTAGCAGTGTCTTAATTTTAATCAATGTTTATAAATAAGCCTAACGTACGAATTTAAACACAAAGTTATTTGATAATTAAATGCTTTGATTAATGTTAATATGCTCATCATGTCAGATACAAAAATGCTCATCATGTCAGAGGAGCCACAGAGGTGACGGTGAGCCATAGAGAACAGTGAGTTTTGACAAAAAAATACAATACACTCCTTTTTGAGAAATCGTGTAATATAACTATAGGTAACATAAACCTTATAACAAAAAAAACTGGTTTTGTAATATCTGTAAGTATCCTTTTCTTCTAAGTATCCAAAGACTATATCGTCGGTCCAGTGGTAAACTATGCAATGTGCAAAAGTCCAACTTTTCAGGAGAGCAAAAAGAAGACAAAAATTGATACTGTAAATCAGGTTTTACAGCTATCTTTACATTTTTTTAAATTTATGAGTAAAAAAAATTGTACTTTAGGTATACATATATAAAATTATAATTTTTACGTTATTTAAGTAATTAAAGCAGATTATCTAGTTTACCGTGGTGAGAATGAGACAAGTAAAATAATTTCACTGTGTTCAAGTAGCCAAAGTGGTAGATATGTGAGTCGACTACGGTAGCATATTGTGTACGACGTACAATTTTGATTGAAAACTAGCCTAAGTGATTCTTTGCATCAAGGTAATAATCTGCCATTTAAACAAGTTGACCCTAGTGATATTTTTATAAGTAACAGATTTTGGTTTTGGTAAACTGAACATTTTTTCACATTTATTAGTTTCCTTTTGCACTCATTTTAGATTTGGCAGATAAGCACTTTTGAACAACATTTATCTCGGTAACTATTAAACTTACAGTTATAGGATTTTGCCACATTGTAGATAATATTAAAAAAATGTTTTGGCTTATTTAAATCAAAACTGTCAAAATTGCAGATTGAATAGTTTACCACTGGACCGGCGATATAGGGTTAATCCCTATGCCTTAAATGAAAAGGACTAAACTGACATTGACGTGACGTGTCAAATGAGAACGGCACTTGGGCACTACGAAAGTTGTTTTGCTTGCTTGCGCTAGAAAAAGAGAATCATTGTTGACGATAAAACTTGGGTATACCAACTTTTATTACATTGTTTATTGTTAAAAATTGTGATGTAATAATATCAAATTTGCTGCATAACACAATCATGGGTATCAAAGTTGTAGATATAGTTGTTGTATTAGTGAATCTTGTATACTGCGTTTATTCCGGTAAGTAGTCGACAATTATTTAATTGAATCAATCTGTTCGGGTCTATGTTACTTCGAGAACTTTATTCTTTTTAACAGAGCACATCCTGCCCTGCAATGTGAGTGCTTTGTACCCGTGTCAAGGGCAAAATCAGGTATGCAATCAATTAACCCGTCAGTGCGTTTGCAAAAGCGGTTTCACGTTCGTCAATGATAGCTGCGAGATCCCCAGTGAGGATTCGAGACACACAGTGACGGGTATAGTGGTATCGGTCTTCACAATAGCACTTATAGCTTGTGGGATAATTTTAGTATTCAGAAAGTATGATCTAGCCAATTACATAAGGCAAAAGATCAGTATGAGACGAAACAACACCGCGGCGTATGAGGACGTTATGATAGGTCACGATGACCCTCCATTGAACCCTTGAAGATGCCTTATAGCTGGAGATATTAGTTGTCAGAGCTTCTGACTATAGTAGATTTAAAATTATTTTGATTATATTTATATTGTTTATGTAGCCACAGAATTTTGCTGTAATGGAACATAGAAACTTCCATGACTATACATTGTTATTTAAATTTGCCTGCTTGTATCTATTAAGTATTAATGTAGAACAGGGATGTCCAAACTAGAATCTAATTTACTAGAATAATGATTGTAACCCAGAGAATGGAAGTTTGGAGATCCCTGATATATAATAGGGAATGCAATATTGCTATTCAGTATCCTATACTACTAACAGCCAGGGTGTTAAATTAAACTCTAAACACCTTAGACTTTAAGGAAAAACACATCATGTAGGCCAGGGGTGGCCAACTTGTTTAGACCTAAGATTGACTTTTCACTGACGACACTCATTACGATCTATCAACTTACTTCTTAAAATCTTAAAATGAAACAGCATAGTTCGTACACAATTATATAGCATTTTGATTCTATTTATATTTTTTGAATTGCCACGTTTGACTGAACTAATAGTCGCAATCGACTGGTTGGCCACCCATGATGTAAGCTATTATAATAGTTCTGTTTTGATAAAGAAAAAGGTCCCCATTGTAAGAAAACTAATCATATACCAAAAGGTGAGATTCTGCAAAATTATGTTTATACATTAAAAAGTTCTTATTCATGATTTTCACATTTTGTTTTTTAGTTAGTTTTCTATGTCTGAAGATAGTATACCTATCAATAATTTTAAATCTGGTGAAATAAAAAGCACAATCTTTAGTTATAATACCTAATGAAAGTCATTTTCAAATTACTAAATGTTATTGACCAAGTTTTTGTAACAGTCTATGAGTTATATTTATTCTGTTTACCTACTTGCATTCTCTAGTGCCTCGATCTTGATCAAGATGATTTGACGTTATTTAAAAGACTTGATAGAATGCACAAAAATATCATTAAATATTATCTTTAAGTACAGCAAATTGTTTTTCTTTGGTTTTTATATTTAAACAAAATATGCAACTGCATCTCTGTGTAAACGGGTCAACATAATTTCAATTGTTTGTTGTAGTTATTTACCTCATTGATAGAATATGTATGATACAGAGATGACTATAAATATAAAAAACTGACCAGAACAATATTTTTACACAAAGATAAACCTGTATTATAGTTTAACCCCTGTAATTAATTGTTGTGAATTGTTAATGTAATCATTTAATAGTACACTATAGTAATAAGTTATTAATATTATACTAATTTTATTAAAAAAAAAAAAAAACATTAGGGAACAGTAAATAATATTTTTGATTTCAGTATTAATATTGCTATATCATTAATATCATCAATATCAATTTTTAATGCAAAATAAAATGTATCCACTCACAATTCAGTAAAACGAAATTATGTTAATTAAATTTTCCCTTAACAATGCTCAAGTTGGTCAAAGACTGATTATATTTTTTCCAGAGTTTTGTATGATATTTATGACGGCATGTAGTATTTATTGATTGCAGAATTGTATTTCTATGAAAAATCTTTTCAATCATCAGCTATGATTGAAGAATATCATTCAATTACACAATTATGACATCATTAAAATATCCAAAACATTCAACATCACAGCACGACAGCACAAAGTACATTTGTCAATAGTTTCACATTTAAAAATAAGTTGTCTCTTAGTCGGACAGCATGTTTCATCAATTTTATTTGTGATCTGTATAAATTGCCAACAATAAATCTAGTTGCAGCCCTACATGGCAGAATGGACAGTATGTTTTAATGTCGACGGTATTGATATTTTGAAATGATGTATTGACAAAGCTCGCTCAGTCTACTTTGGTTACTGAAACGCTTAAAAAGTATGCACATTAACTTGATCTCTTTGTGCTATATGGCAGATGGATATTAGAAAAATCAATTTGAAATCCTTTTTCATTCCCTGACATACTTTTAATATAATATTAAGTAACAAGTTTATTATATTATTGAGTGTATCATACCTATATTAAAAATAAAAACAAGTATTTCTTTGTCAACAAATATTATTACATAAATATGTGCATGCTAAATGAGACCCTAGGATGTTTTATCTAATTTTATGAATTGTTCCTAAAAATCATACCATTATATCTATTATTTTTACTTGTTTAAGTTCGGCTTGTGCATGGTTTAGTCTTAAGTGTAGTAATAAATATTTTTGTAGCTTGTTGTAATTTTGTTATAATTTTTTTTTGTCAGAATAATGAAAGTTTAAAGCTTGTAAATATAAATCTACAGCAAACTACATAATATTTAGAAAAATAATATAGTAGGGTTCAAACACCAATTGTATATGTGTGTCAATATGACACTATTTGAGAAAGTACATGTAAATAATTTAGTCTATTATTTAGTTTCCAGTGGCATTTTTGATTTTATCTTTGTCTTGTTTAAATATCTGCTGATACATGTTATACCTACGTTGTTATCCTAGACTTTGTCAGTATCGAGGAGTCTGTTCACATAGATACTTCTAGTAATACGATTTTCTATTCTATTTTCACAAAAAAAGATTGCAATTTGGAATGAATAATTTAAAAAAATGTTGTACGACTATATTTTTATATTTATTCCAGATTCATTTGAAATATAGAACTTGACTAGCGTCAAACAGTTAGTTGCACAAACGCTCATTTAAATTGACATAAGTTTAAAGCAACTTTAGCGATACAAATTTGACATTCATTAGAGCTTAAAGGCGTCATTAAATCATAATGGACGTTTGTGCAACTGACCGAAAGTCAAAAAGAATGTAAAAATTATCAAACTTACATAACATGTATTTATATGTAGCATCAAACAGATATACCAATAATTAATGGCTCTATATGTGAACAAAGGATGCAATATAATATTCTTAGATTATAGTAAAATTATTAAAGTTAGTAATGTATATTTTGAAATAAATACTCTGTGATATAATGATTGTTTATTCTATTTAGGATATGAATTCTCTTAAATAGGGCGTCACGTGAAATTGTGTTGTGAACTTGACCATACTGCTGGTTATAACCACCAACCACGCCACTGTCGCTGGACATTCGTATAATACTGAAACAAGAATGAATATTTTAAAACAGGATCATTTTTAAGTACAATTATACTTAATCACCCCCTTTTAAGTTCCCACTGCAGGGGCTCAGGCCTTCCTCGTGGATGGTTAAGAAGGACAATTATATTAGAAGTAAACGTCCAAGATAAACCTCATCGATTCATTTCGACATTAATTACAGTGTTGGAAATTCCTGAAAGTTTCGGAAACATTGGAAGTTTTCCAGAAAGTCTCGAGAAGTCTCTTTCCTAAAAACTTCCGAAATATAGGAAGTTTTGGAAATTTAAGCGATATGGTTATTTTAATGTTGATTTGACTTTCTTATTGAGAAATTTTACAACTTAAGGTTACGTGAGAATCAACTAAAAAAAATCTGCCAAGTACGAGTTGAAGTATTTATTTCATTCTATTTATTTGTTGTTGAAGCGGCAACAGCAAAACGTCACCTGTGAAAATTTCAACTGTCTTTCACAGTTCATGAAATATATAGCCTGGTCACAGACGGACAGAGAGCGAAGTCTTAATAATAGGGTTCCCATTTACCGTTTGGGTACGGAACCCTAAAAATTAATTTGAGGACACATTACTATTGGCAATTTAGTTATTGAGATATATTGATAAATTGTCGAGTAGACTTAGCTCTGCAGCATATGCCGTAATGAAGATACGTAGGTTAACTGACATATACACTGCCAGATTAGTATACTTCAGTTACTTTCATAATGTAATGTCGTACGGAATCTTATTGTGGGGAAATGCTGCCGACAAACAAACGATTTTTGTGCTTCAGAAAAGAGCAATTAGATCAATTTATAATCTTAGGATTAGGTACTCTTTAAGGGAGAAATTTAAGGAAATAGACATAATGACTGTTGCTTCTTAATACATATACGAGAAGTTAATGTACGTTCGTAAAAATATTAGTTTGTGTTCTATAAAAAGTGATGTACACAATTTTAATACAAGAAATAAAAATAAATTAACGGTGCCTGTCACTAGACTGCAAAAAGTTGATTACTCATTCAGGAGTCTACAATTCTTCTACATAAGATCCTAAGCAAAATACAACAATTGGATATCATGCAGTTTAAATCTACTATTAAAAAAATACTTATTAAAAAAGCTTATTATAAGGTATCAGATTATATAACAGATAAGAATGCTTGGACTTGAGATGATCCAGTGACTCAAAATTATCTTAACATCAAAATTATCTTTTTTCCATTATTATTAAATGATTATGTTATCATTATAAGACCACAGTTTTTTTTTCTCTTTCTATTTATTATGTATTGATCTGGTAATGACATGGTTTTTGTAAATGTCATTACTCCTATTAGAGCTGGTGAGTTTCTTGCTCGTTCTTCTTATCAGCCAAAAGATGTCCTGAACGAGCGGTAGGGAAAAAAATACTCTTAAGAATTCTATTTGAATAAAGATTATTTTGACTTTGAGTAGAAATAATATCATAAATATTATAAGTTGTCCATTTGTTGATCAGAAGCACTTTTTCCAGAATGTTTTGAGAAAACAAAGAATATTAGTCAATCAACAATAGGTTAAAATTGAGAATACTGTTAACTTTGAACATATTCGCCTAGCCATATGTAAAATCATAGTACTTAAAATATTGGTGATAAGAGTTTAACTAAACGAGTGCTATTAATTACGCATTTATAGTATGTTTTGTGCATAATTGGATTGGACGAAAAAACATTGTTTAGATGATAATTTATGAGAAAAGAATAATTTACAAGATATAATCGTTAAATAATAATTTACAGACTTTTTCCAAGAAACAAAGTAAAACCATCAAATAAACATTCACTCCGCTAAACTTGCAAAACTGTCGGAAGTTTTTAGGAAAGTTTCCTCTGTTATGTTTCACAGCAATTTTCATCTCTAATTGCGATTAATAAGTTACAAGACTTGAATAAAAATAATATAATTTTATCACGTAGATGTCTGTCATTGTAACAATATTTTCCTGTACACTATTATGTTTAATTCAGCTAATAAAGATAAAGGAAATTCATGTGATCACGTTTGGTTAGATATAACTTAAATTCATCCGTCCAAGGTTCTATGTAATTAATTACGTTTGTATGTAATACAATTATTGTTAATTATCTATCTATATATATAAAAATGAATCGCAAAATGTGTTGGTAAGCGCATAACTCAACAACGCCTCGACCAATTTGGCCAAATCTTTTTTTAAAATGTTCGTTGAAGTTCAAGGATGGTTTTTACGGCGAGAAAAATTAGAATTATTGCTGGAAAAACCCTAAAAATAGCCCTT